TCCATTTTGCTCTGGTTATTTTGGAGATGGGGGTCTTGTGAACTACTTGCCTGGGCTGGCCTCAAACCTCAATCCTCCTGATCTCAGCCTCCCAAGTAGCTAGGATTACAGGTGTAAACCACCAGCACTTGGCTGCATTTTCTAATTTTTCATTATTTGAAACAGTGTTGCTGTACACTATGTTCCCAGGAATCTAGTGTGGGAATTTCTCTAGAAATGGAACGTTTTTCTCCTTTTGTAGTTTTTTTTACATTTACTTACATATGTATACATTGTTAGTGCCACCTCCCCACCCCCCCAAAATGAGATTTTTAACTTCCATTCTATTTTTAAATGTTTAATTAATTAATTTATGTTTTGGTGTTTTGAGACAGGGTCTCACTAGGTAGCCCAGGCTGGTCTCAAACTCATGATCCTCCTGCCTCTACTTCCTGAGTGCTGGGACTACAAGTGTGCACCACCCACCACAGCATCTTTGTGTTGTTGTTCTAGGAATGGAACTCAGGGTTTTCACCATGTGAGGCAAGTGCTATACCACTAGGTCACATCCCCAGCCAAGACAGCATCTTTGAGAGGCAATTGAGTGGGCTGGTGGAGTGGCTCAAGTGGTAGAGCACCTACCTAGCAAGCTTGAGGCCCTGAGTTCAAACTCCATAACACCAAAAAAAAAAAAAAAAAGAAAGAAAAGAAAAAAGAGGCAATTCAGTTAACATGAGGTTAGTAGATGAGCCCTGATTCCATGTGACTGTGGGGGGGAGGAGCAGGAAAGTAGCACTCAGGCATACTGTGCAGACCTTGGGAAGATCAGGGAGAAGACACTGCACAGACAAGGGGAGAAGCCTCAGGAGAAACCAGCCCCGCTCAGGCCTTGGCTCTGCAGCTGCAGCCTCCAGGACTGAAAGTACATTTGGATGTTGAAGCCATTCTGTCGGGCGTACTTTGTAATGACAGCCCAGCAAACTAGCACACAGATGACAATGTTTGCAGGGTCAGCAGGCAGCATAAGTGTGGACAGTCCCTGAGTGTGGGGACCTAGACAGGCTGGAGCGTGCAGGCTCCTCTTGAAGCAGAAGGGCGTTTGCCGGGGGCGATGATTCTGAGACATTTCTGGTAGTCACAGCGGGTGAGGGGGTAGAGGCCAGTGGGATGGATAGAGGGATGGTGCCAAATAGCCTACACCATGCAGGACAGTCCCCACCAGCCCCAAATGCCAACACTGCTAAGACGGAGAAGTTCTTGACTTAGAGGAATTAAAAATGTCTTGGTGTCCCTGACTTGGCAGGGTCCTTGATTCTAGGGTCCTTAAACAAGGTTTTAAGTAAACAAATGGTTGGAACTATTTGCATTTTTAAAAATTTGTCCCAGCTGCTTCAAGGAGTAGGAAGTGGAAAGGACAAGACCAGAAAGGAACGCAGTTACTGTCGCATGGAGTAACATTTATTAACAAATCATACTCATTTAGCACCAATAGCTGACATTGTCAAGTGTTCTGTATTTACCAATTGCTGTTTTAAATTATGTAGTCCTCTAAGACCCAGGTTTTAATCTATTGCCATTTTACAGGGGGAAAACCAAGGCCAAGAGGGGTTAATTTGTCCAGGGTCAGGTCACAATTACTAAGAGGTGGAGTTAGGATTTGAACCTAGGGAGTTGGTTCCAGAATCTGTGAGATTAACCTTCCCCAAAAAACTGTCTTGATAACAAATATTTATTAAGCACTATCAGTGTGTCAGGCAGTGAAATAAAATTTTGAGCATTGATCAAATGGTAGAGTGTGCCTGCTTAGCAAGTGTGAGGCCCTGAGTTCAAGCCTCAGTACTGCCAGAAAAAAAACTGAGCATTGATCATAACACAAGGGTTTTTTACTAAAAAAAAAAATCTGGCCATTGTGGTGCACACCTATAGTCCCAGAAGTAGGGAGGCTGAGGCAGGAGGATTGAGAGTTCAAGGCTAGCCTGGGTTACATAGCAAGGTTATCTCAAAAAAACAAGGGTGGGCTAGTGAAATGGCTCAAGTGGTTGAATGCCTGCTTAACAAGTGTGAGCCTTTGAATTCAAACCCAGTACCACCAAAACCCAAAAACAAACAAAAAACAAAAAAACCCAAGTAGTGTGGATGTAGCCCAGTAGTAGAGCCCTTGCCCAGCAAATGCAAAACCCTGGGCTCCATCCCAGCACTGCAAACAACGCTTCAATTCCTGCACTGGCTACGTTGTGTGTTCAGTAGCCACACACGCCAGGGCTGCCTCATTGTCCGGCACAGACGTGGAACGTTCTCATCACTGCTGAAAGTTCTATCGGACAGGGCTACTGCAACCAGGGGCGCTTATTGATGTTCTGTAGTAAACAAAGCCTGTCCATCTCCACCCTTGCCTTTGATCCTGTGTGATGGAATGACCTGTTTCTAAGGGTTCAAGGTAGCACTCTAACACTGACACCTACTGCATGCTGTGCTGAACTCTCAGGCAGTGTGGCTCAAACACACACTCTGCCACTGGTGCCACTTATAGACTGCTTCTTACCTGCTAGTGGCAAGTTCAGAAGGTGAGGACAGGATTCAGAAAGTTTGCTGGCCAAATGACATTGCCACACATTTGGCTCATAGTTTGCAGAAGCACCAGTCTGCCATGGGTTGGACGTTTTAGCTGCTGGTCTTTCACGACAGTAAGTTGGTAGTACTGGGGTTTGAACTCAGGGCTTCACACTTGCTAGCCCGGTGCTCTACTGCTTGAGCCTGCAGTCCTTACTACAGCAGTTTGGGAGGCTCTGCTTCTAGGTCCTGGGGTTCCTGCTCTTGACCTCAGTAAGGAGGGAGGGTGACAGTTGCTAGCTGTCTGGCTGCATTGACATACAGACCTGATATACACCTGAAAACGTCTGCAAACATGTGAAGGCCTTCCTCCCCTCCTTTACCCATTATGTACTTAGTGTGTGTGTCCTGTGCCATGTGCTGCTCTAAGCACTAGGGCCACGGCAGGAATGAGGTGGTAAGGTACCACAATGTTTATCACAGCATGTGAATAACAGCCGACATGTAGAAAGATGCCACGTGTCCATCAACAGACGAATGAATAAGTAAAATGTACACAGCAACACAACATCGTTCAGCCATAACGGAGCTCTGACACATCTACAACATGAAAGGACCTTGCATGAGGCAAGCCAGACACAAAAGGTGACCATGGTGCATCCCACTTACACAAATTTCTAGAATAGGTTCATTTATAGTTACAGAAAGTAGATTAGAGGTTTCCATGGTCTGGGTGAAGAGTATTGCTGGGTGGTTACAGTTTCTGTTTGAGGTGAGAAAACATGTTTTGGAAACAGCATGGGTGAATATAATTAATGCCATTGACTTGTACATGTAAAATGGATAAAATCACAAAAAAACAATGACAGAAGCTTCTTTTGTGATACACACAGGACTTTGGCAAATAGAAAATGTTGACTGGGAAGGGAGGGTAGATGGTGGAGATGACTTAATATAGGGAAGGCTGCCTGGAGGAGGTAATCATGAGCTGGCTTTAAGAGTAAGATTTTGGCCAGGCACCAGAGGCTCACGCCTGCAATCCCAGGTACTCAGGAGGCAGAGATCAGGAGGATCATGGTTTGAAGCCAGCGCAGGCAAATAGTTCACGAGATCTTATCTTGAACAACATCACAAAAATAGGGCTGGTGGAGTGGCTCAAGCTGAAGATCCTGAGTTCAAGCCCCAGTACTGAAAAAAAAAAGAGTAAGATTTCTAAACTGGGCGCTGGTGGCTCATGCCTGTAATCTTAGCTATTCAGAAAGCAGAGACCAGGAGGATCACAGTTTGAAGCCAGCCTGGGTTCGAACTATCTAGAGACCCTATCTAGAAAAAAAGCCATCTCTCACACACTCACACACACACACACACACACACACACACACATGCACACAAGCACACAAGGGCTGGTAAAGTGGCCAAACAAAACAAATTTTCTAGGTGGGTGTGAGTGGTTCAAGCCTGTAATCTTAGCAACTGGGGAGGCTGAGAGCTGAAGGATCACAACTGGAGGCCAGCCTGGGCAAATAGTTCACCCCATTTCCAAAACAACCAGAACAAAGTGGACTGGAGGTGTGGCTAAATGGTAGTGTCTTCTACTCCACCTCCTCCCCCAAAGATTTCTACAAAGGCAGAAAGGAAAATTCCTAGCAAATTCTGAGTTTTTTCTAAGGTCCTGCCTGAAGCCTCTGTCTGGATTATACTCTTGTTTCTGTCAGTCCCTTTCTAAAACGGCAAAAAGTAATGGTATCTCTAGGCGGGGGTTGTGGTAAATTAGAGAATATGCATAAAAGTAATTAAATCAGTATTGGCACAGCACATAGTAAATTTACGTAAGTGCTAGCTATTCTTATGTTTATTTTTTCGTTTTTATGAAAAGCAATTGTTTATTTTGGGAAAAAAAGAATCTAAGAAAATAAAAGCCTTAATCCTGGTGCTGGTGGCCCATGCCTGTAATCCTAGCTACTCAGGAGGCAGAGATAAGGAGGATCACGGTTCAAATCCAGCCATGGCAAACAGTTCGCGAGACCCTATCTCGAAAAAACTGGTCACAAAAAAGGGCTCGTGGAGTGGCTCGAGGTGTAGAGCCTGAGTTCAAACCCCAGTACCAAAAAAAAAAAAAAAAAGAAAAAAAATCACTTATAATTTTACCCCAGGGACAATCACTACTGCTTTGTATTTTTGCCACAACTTTTTGTCCACAAATATATACACGTAGAGAAGTTATCAAAGCCCATGTTTAGATCTTCTCACCGTCCCCCCCACTCCAGAGAGACATTACTTTCTGAGAACGTGGACAAAAAAATGTCCATATTTAAATAAAGCCCCGCCCCTTGATTTCGTCATACGAAACCACGCCCCAGGTCATGGCACACGTCCTCTAGGAGCTCCGGAAGCGGAGCGTGGGGGGCGGTTCCTCAAGCGGAAGTGGAGCCTGGCACATGCGCAGTGACGACGAGGTGGCGGGAAAGGGCGGGTCTGACGGCTTGTTGCGTTCGCTTCTGGAAGTGGCTGCTGCTTCAGCATGCTTGCGGAGCTCGGTTTAATCGGAACCATAGGCGAAGATGAAGAGGTGCCGGTGGAGCCCGAGTCTGACTCCGGAGACGAGGAGGAGGAGGTGTGAGCCGGGCGGGGTTGGGGTACGGTCACGGGCAGAGTCCCGGCCCATGGGGTTCCCTGGACCGCTTCCCTTCCCTGAGATCCTTCGGGAACACCGCGTACCCGAATCCTCCGCATGCCGCGAGCAGAGCTGCCCTGGGACCCCGACACCCTCCGCAGTGTCCTCGCCATTAGCTTTCCCCACACCGCACTATTGGCAGTGCCATTCCATGTGGCCCTGCTGCTCACAACCGGCTATTTAATGCAGGCCCTCGGTAGTAGAGATCCAGAGATGAAGTCAGGCTTGGGTTCTGCTCAGAGCCATGGTTGTTCATCCCCCCATCTGTTCATCTGTTCATACTCACGCATCTAACAGAGGTAGTGTTAAATATTGCGGACCTGGCAATGAAAAAGGTGGTCCCAGTCTGCTGAACTTCATCTTGAAGTGGGAGCCTACGAACTTTAAGCCGGGGGTCTGAAAAAGGTCTTTGTCTTTCAGAGCCTCAACTTTTACCTCTTTACTCATCTGCCTGCCTGACACGTTCATTGGGATGTCCCATGGCCTCTGCAAATTCACCTCCAACAAAGCTGAACTGGTCTCCCTCACCTTCCCATCCTATTCCCATCTAAAGCCAGGGCATAGGATCATTTTGACAACTTGATCCTTGTCGCCATTCAGTGCTCTGCAAACCATTTGAATCTTTCCTTGGCTTCTGCCCTCTTTCTGTCCACACTTCGCCATTGTCCAGGTCACTGCCATCTCACACCTGGACAACTGCAGTCCGCACATACCTCATCTCCATCTCTTTCTTGTGATCCCTTCTGGTGTGTTCTTCACTTCACAGCAGAGTGATCTTCTCTTAGTGCAGTTCGATTAGTGCCTCCCTTGCTCAGAACCTTCCAGCCTGCTTTCACAAGGCTTTGGGGTCCTTCAGAATCTGGTCCTTTTCACTTTCTTGACTCTGACAGCTCTCCCCTTCATGATCGACACCCAGACAGACTCGCTGGTTCCACAGTCCTGCACAGTCTGTGTTCTGTCTTGCTCAGAGCCTTCCCTCTCCTGTTCCTCTGCTTGGAACACTCTTCCTTCTGCTTTTTCTGGATGCTACTAGTCACTCTGGTTTCTGTGCCATACTTGACTTCTTTCTTGAAGAAAGAAAAGAAAAGTTTCTTTTCTGGAAACTTTCCGACACCTTGGCTGCCATCCCAAACTATTAAATGACCCATGTTGTCCCTGTGGTACCACCAGGCAGGACTGAAGTTTCCTGTTATCTGTCAGCTGGAGGGCATTTTAGAATAGTGGTTAAGGGCTTAGACTGGAACCCAAACATCTGGGAATGAATTTCAGGTGATTGTGGATAAGACACTTGCCCTCCACCTCACTTTCCTTGCTCTAAGGTGACGATATCATAGCATCTCCTAAGGCTAAGTAAGAGACTTCAGTTATGTGTGTGCATACTTGTTCTTTTTTTTTTTTTTCTGTGTTGTCTGTTTCCCATGGGTATCCTTACCAGGGGTGTTGGAGATTGAACTCAGCCTCATGATGCTAGGTAATTACTCTACCACTGAGCTACATTTTTTTCCTAATTTAAAGTTCCAGTTGGCTTTTATTTGTGATCATAGACTAGGGCAACACCTCATCCTATAAAACAGAATGAATGTTGTTCCCTATGTACATGTATTTGTATCTACATGCGTATACTTAGGAATGTACCTGTATGATACATAACTAAGGAAAGTATACTTAGTAATCATCCCTAAGAAATAGCAATTATTGGGCTGGTAGCATTGCTTAAGTGGCAGAGTGCCTATTTAGCAAGTAGGAAGCCCTGAGTTCAAACCCTAGCACCCCCCCCCAAAAAAAGGAATAGTAATTATTTATTAATTAGTCACTTCTTTTTCAGCTCATTGAGATTGAGAGTAGGGACTATGTTCTAATGATTCTCATCCTCAGTGCCTAGCATAGGGCCTTCCTCTTTTTTTTTTTTTTTTTTTGTAGGTTTGAACTCAGGACCTACACCTTGAGCCACTCCACCAGCCCTTTTTGTGTTAGGTATTTTCGAGATAGGGTCTTGAGAACTATTTGCCCAGACTGGCTTCGAACCACGATCCTCCTGATCTCTGCCTTCTGAGTAGCTAGGATTACAGCATAAACACCCGCACCTGACTGGGCCTTCTCTACGTTAGGTATTGAACAGTGTCTGATTTTTTCCCAGCTTTACTGAGATAGGATTGACAAATATAATTTTATAAGTCTTAAGTTATACAACATGATGATTTGACAAATGTATATATTGTGGAATGGTTTCTACAGTCAGGTCACCTCACCTATTTTCTTTTGTGGTGAGAACATTTAAGATCTCTCCTAGCAAATTTCAAGTCCACAATATGTCATAATTAACTACAGTCACCTTTAGTCACCACACAGGACATTAGGTGTGCAGAATGTATTCATCTTATAAAGTTTATATCCTCTAGTGAGCATCTCCCCATTTCTCCTACACCCACCCGCTCCCTGACAATCTTCGCTCTTGTCTCTGTTTTTCTTGAGGGAGGGTTGTACTGGGATTTGAACTCAGGGCTTTGCACTTGCTAGGTAGGTGCACTACCACTTGAGCCATGCCGCCAGTCCTATGTATTTCTCTTCTCTTCTGGGCTCCCTCTGTTCCTTCTTCCTGTTCTACTGTTCTTCAGCTTCAGCCCATAGTCACCTGCCTCTCCTCTTTCCAGGGGCCCATTGTGCTGGGCCGGAAACAGAAAGCCTTGCAGAAGAACCGCAGTGCTGATTTCAACCCTGACTTTGTTTTCACTGAGAAGGAGGGGATGTACGATGGCAGCTGGGCCCTGGCTGATGTCATGAACCAGCTCAAGAAGAAGGTGAGGCTGCAGTGATGGACAGTTCCAGACTGTAGGTTTGTGAGGTTGAACAGGGTGTCTCTGGGACTAACCTTGACCTCAGGCCCCTTGGCCCTGCTTCTGTTCAGCGGGTACTGGAGCACTTTAAAAATGTGAGGTGCAGCTTTAATGGCATGGGGAGAGGGTCACAAGTAGCCACAGTTCTGATTATGACTGGCAGTATAAAGTGCTGTAGAATAGATTTATTACACACTCTATAAGTACTGGGGTTTGAACTCAGGGCCTTGTGCTTGCTAGGCAGGTGCTCTACCACTAGCCCTATATTGTAGACTCTAGTAACAAACAGTCACTAGTCTATTGGTGACATTTAGAAGTATTAAGAAGAATATTTCTTATAAAATGCCCATGACAGCTTCTCCTGAAGTGGGGTAGTGAGTTTCTGAACTCACTTCTAACTTCAGTGTACGTATTAAGACAGACTTTTTTTTCTTTTTTGGCAACACTGGGATTTGAACTCAGAGCCTACTGCTTGTTAGGCAGGCACTGTACCACTTTAGCCATTCCACTAGCCCTAGATATAATTCTTGTATCTTGATAATTCTGTTGTTTGAACTAGTAAACGCCTTCTAAAATGTGTTTGTAATGTTTTTTGGTGATGTAAAGTTTTATTTATTTTTTCTGTGAACAGTCTACAGGTTGATTCATTGATTCACTTACTCATCTTAAGGACAGACCAGCCTCTGCAGTATTAACATTTGAGACCTGGTCTTCCAGGGGACATTTCTTGGTCTCTTTCTTGAACGTGTATTTCTTTTCCTTCTCTTTATTTCTCTGTGCAGAGGGCAGTCACTACGTTAGATGAGAAGATTGAGAAAGTGCGAAAGAAAAGAAAAGCGGAGGTGAGAGAGAAATGGGCCTCTTCTCCTGGTCCCTATATGCCCCTAGCCAAGTGTCCTCACATTTCTGTTCCAGCCCAAGTGGAGGATGGCAGGAGCAGGCGCTCCTCTTTGGGTACTTCTTACTCACACACCACTCCTGTCCAGGCCATAGAACTCAATATCACTCCTCTTAGGTTCCGAATGTCCTGAATTCTGTTGTTATCTTTGCTGTATTTGACCTTGTTTCCCAGGATAAAGAAGCCAAGGCCGGGAAGTTGGAGGAGAAAGAAGCCAAGGTGGCCTGCGACCTGGAGGAACAGGAGGATGTGGAAGGGAAGGAGGAGGCAGGCTCTGCAGATGAAGACTCTGATTCCGACTACTCCTCAGCTGATGAGAAAGTTCTCACGCAAGCAGGTGGCCGCTCTGCTGGCTGCTGGAAATGGGACAGGAAGTGGGCAGTGGGCACCTTCACTTGTAGCAATCCAGGCTCTTCTGCACGAGTGCTTGCCATCTCCCTGCTGTTTTACCCTCTCTCTTCCCAGGTGTTGTGTTGGGATGTTCTTCTTTGCAGGCAGCTTCCTCTTTCCCCAGCTGTAGCCCCACACAGCTGCTAGACCTCTCTGTGACTCATACATATTTGGTGTGATCCACATCCAGTGGGTTCACTCATGAGTGTGTGCTCAGTAAGTATTTCTGGCAGAAATCATGCTAAGGTGTCTTTGTGTATTATAGTGTGAGAGCCTGGTCTTTGCACCACACTGCCAGGTGTGCTTTCTGTCAGCTCTGAAACCAGTCACTTCACTGCACAGTCGCACAGCATCCCCATCTGTGAAGAGAGGCTGTCATGGTAGCCCCCTGTAGGCTAATGTGTGGGCTTGGTCTGGTAGTCCACGTAGGGCCCTTAAGGTGGTGTGGAGTGGATGTGGATGTCAGCAATGTGAGCTGTGGTCATTGTGGTGCTTTTCTCCATAGATACACTCAAAGTGAAGGAGCGCAAGAGGAAGAAGAAGGGGCAGGTGAGCCTGGGCAGGGTGGCCACGCACAGTTCATTTTGGCATCAGGAAGGGCTTTTAAGGTCATTGGTTTTCTTCACTGAGTTCTCATTCTCTGTCTTCTGACTTTCTGCTGTAGGAAGCAGGAGGATTCTTTGAAGACGCATCTCAGTATGATGAAAACCTCTCCTTCCAGGACATGAATCTTTCCCGGCCTCTTCTGAAGGTAGCGGCCCCCAACTCTACTCTCTGTTTCCTTTAACTCTTATCCACTCAGCTGCTCAGCTTTCTTCTCAGTAAACTTCATTGTGTCCCTCTTCTTTGATCCCTCCATGGCTCCCACCTTCACTCAGGATAAAAACTGAAGTCACGTACAGCATTTTGCCTTTTCTGTTCTCTCTGATGACATCTTTCAGCACTCATTCCACTCTGGCACACTGGCCTTGCAGGCCCTCGGGCAGGTCAGACATCCTCTTCCTCAGCATCTTTGCACTTGCTGTTCCCTTTGCCTGGAAGTCTCATTTTCCAGAAGTCTGCTGATGCACCCTCACCCCTCTTGGATCCAGTGGGAACCGTTCCTGACAGCCCTGCTGTGAATTGCACTCCATACCCTTCTGTGCCTTCCTTTGTCTCCTTGATCACTGCATTTTTGTCTATAACAGTTATCTTCCTGTATTTGTCTTTAGGTCTATTTCTTTCTGCCAGACTCTAAGATTCCTGAGGGCAGCGGTTTTCTTTTATTTCTTTCTGTGTCTTTAGCATCTAGGACAGGGCCTCACACGTAGGTGCTCTTGGTCTTCGGTGTGAACAAATGCTGGGGAGGACCAAGAGAGTTGTCTCTGGTTTGGCAACCTGTTGGTGTTGCCTGCTGTAGGCCTTCCCCGCCCACCTCTAGTCTGACCAAACCTTTTCTCTTCAGGCCATTACAGCCATGGGCTTCAGGCAGCCCACCCCGATCCAGAAAGCCTGCATTCCTGTGGGTCTGCTGGGGAAGGACATTTGCGCCTGTGCAGCCACTGGGACAGGTGAAAGGATGGGGGCTTGGGTTGTGGGAGAAGGGTTCTCACACCCCCAATAGAACTCTGGGTTGACTTCACAGAAGGCCAATTTGCTAAGTGTGCGTGGCTTTTTGAACTATATAGACAGCTTATAGACCTGGGCATGGTGGCCCACACTTGTAATGCCAGCTACTCCAAAGGCAGGGGCAGGAAGATCACAAGTTTGAGGTCAGCCTAGGCAAAGTTAGTTAGATTATAATCTAAAAAAGAGATACATAGGCTGGGGGCATGGCTCAAGTTCAAATCCCAGTACTGCCAAAGGTGGGGGGGTGGGAGGGAAAATACAAAAGGGCTACTAGAGCATTTGCCTAGCGTGCAAGAGACCCTAGCTTCCATCTCCAGCACCACAAAAAAACAACAACAAAAAAAGTTCCGTTATGCTGTTTATACCAACCTACTCCAAAGAGAAAGATGGACGGAAGCAGGATTCTCAGAGATGAGAAGGTTTGAACAATTGCCAAAACCAAAGTTTTACAAACTATGGTTTGTAGTAGTGAACTTATTTAATTTTAAAAACATTTCTTTCTTTGAGTAAAGGGGTGTAGAGGTAAGCACCCCATCTACCTGGGGTGCTCCCCCTCCCTAGCCTGCTGCTATGTCAGCATCAGCGGACACTGAGAGTGTTTGCAATGTACCTGTGGTTGAAATAGACTTGAACTCAGATGTGCCTGTGCCACCCCCCTTCCCCCTTTATACAAAAGCTGGAGACTCTATGCCTGGTTTTGCGGGGGCTCTCTCACTTGTGGAATGTCTTAAGTGTCTCTCCTGTTGTTTCATAGTGCATACCAGAGTACTGCTTGTGTGTTGTGGTGGGTTTAATTTTGTTGATTTTCATTTATTACTTTTTCAGTGAGGTATAGCTTACTGTAAAGCCCACACATCCTAAGTGTACAGCTTCATGAGTTTCTACATATGCAGATATACTTCTGAACTACTTACATATTTTGAATATTTACATGTAATGTTATTTTTTTTGGTGGTACTGGGGTTTGAACTCAGAGCTTTGTGCTTGCTAGGCAGGCACTCTACATCTTGAGCCACACCTCTGGTCTGTTTTGCTCTGGTTATTTTGGAGATGGGGGTCTCATAAACTATTTGCCTGAGCTGGCCTCAAACCAAGATCCTCCTGATCTCATCCCCCTAAGTAGCTAGGATTACAGGTGTGAGCCACCAGTGCCTGACTGGCCACGTAGTTTGAAGGCAGGAAAATGGTGTATGAAAACTAAGTTTGTTTGATGTTCCTTGGAGCAGACCTGGAGGTTTTCTGTGCTCAGGTGGAAAGCTAAACCCAGAAGGCACCAAACCTCTCCTTGTCTTCCTTCTGCCTCCCTCCAGGTAAAACTGCAGCCTTCTCTCTCCCCGTGTTGGAGCGACTCATCTACAAGCCCCGTCAGGCCCCAGTAACCCGGGTGCTGGTGCTGGTTCCCACCCGGGAGCTGGGCATCCAGGTGCACTCAGTCACCAGGCAGCTGGCCCAGTTCTGCAGCATCACCACCTGCCTGGCTGTGGGTGAGTTTCTGACTGAGTGAGACCACCAGCTCCTGAGAGATGTGACGTGGTGGATGAAGGGTGAATGTGCACCTCCTGTGGGTGCCAGGTGTTAGGAATTGCCTTTGTGTTCATTGAATCCGCTTAAAAATTGCATTATTTGGGGCAGAACTTCCATGACAAAGTTATGTTACGTCCCTTCATTTTCCCCTCTTTATACAATGTGAAATCAGTGTTGATTTTTGTCCTCCTGTACAGAGATGTCATCGCTTTTCACAGCTGTTTCCCTCAGCTATGATAGAATGGTGTTCAATCATTCTATTCAGAAGTGCTTTTTGATTTCATACTCCACCCAATTGCAATTAAGTCTTATCTCCTGCTGTGTTGGATGATCCACGTGGGCCAGTCCTCTGTCTGTCTTGTTCTCAGCTGTCTGCTCTGTGTCCAGCATGAGCCAAGGCAGGTGATAGGTGCTAGTCAGCACCAGTGCCTGTTTGACTGACTGCCTGCTGGGGCTCTCCTCTTTGCAGGTGGCCTGGATGTGAAGTCTCAGGAAGCAGCTCTACGGGCAGCACCGGACATCCTCATCGCCACCCCTGGCCGGCTCATCGATCACCTGCACAACTGCCCTTCCTTCCACCTGAGCAGTATTGAGGTACTCATCCTGGACGAGGCCGACAGGTGTGTCTCACGCAGGGTCTAGAGTGCTCTGAGGTCCCCAGGGCCATGGAGCTGCAACCTGGCCTTATTCCCTATGGCCCCTGGTGTATGAACTGTGTCACCACACACACTGGGCAGGTTTAGTCTGGGTTTTCTGGCTTGCTTGCTTGTTTTCTGTCTTTCTGCAAATGATGGTAAGAAGTAAGGGGAGTCAGATGTGGTCTCTGCGAGTTTGTGACTGGGATTCGGAAATGTTCCTGAGATTGTCAACAAAACATTTTCCTGTTGCACATGGAGACAAGAACAGTGCCCACTGCTCAGTGAGGAGACCCTTGAGCAGTGCAGGGAAGGAGCCTTGCTTAGAAGCTTCAGCAGCCCATCCCTGTGGCTGCTCCTCTCCCTCCCACCTTTCTCACACGCCTGTCCAGTGTGCTCACCTCTTTGCTCCATGACTGAGCTGGATGAACTGGACTGATGGTAGGGTGGGTGGGAAGAAGTCATAGGTCAGCACAGAGCACAGTAAGGCTCTCTCAGGGAAGCATCTCAGAATCAAGTGGCCTTTACAAGGTTTTTCCTGATGCCCTCCCTCTTCTCTATGACAGCCTATCCTTCCATTTATTCAGGCTTAAACCGTTAGTGTCGTCTTTATCTCCTGCTGTCTTCACACCTGCCATGGTCCCATAGGTAAATCCTGTCTGCACACCCATGGTGGGCTCTGTAGGGCTGGACCATTCCTTCACCTCCTGCCACAGAGAATCTGGGCTTTGTGCAGCAGATGTTGATACAATGACGGTTTATCTGAATCCAGCCCCTGGGAGGCAGAGTGTGAAGAAGGCAAGGACTTTTTTAGATGGAGGGAGACTGAAGAGACGTGAAGGGCAACTTCTGGGTAGGGATTGAAGTTCCTGGACTCTGGTAAAGACAGCCAATCAGTCACACGTTGCAGACAGCAGGGGAAACTTGAATGTGACCTGTGTTTTGGACCTTGTTCACACACTTCAGTGTCTCGGCTGTGTGTGTGGCATTGTGCCCATATGGAAGGCCATTGTCCTTGGAAGATGGGTGTTGGAACATTTGGGGATAAAGTGTCATGATGTGTGAGTACTTACAAATAGTTCAACAAAGTAAGACACAAAATAAATGTGACACCATGATAACTTGGTAAGTCTTGATCACTATCGCCATGAATCCTGTGTGCAGCCAATGACAGCACACCCTTCCCTGTGTGGAGAAAAGCACTTCCCCATTTGCATGCCTGTCCTCTCTCTGCCCCCAGGATGCTGGATGAGTACTTTGAGGAGCAGATGAAGGAAATCATTCGGATGTGCTCCCACCACCGCCAGACCATGCTCTTCTCAGCCACCATGACAGATGAGGTGGGTACAGGGCTTCCAGTGGAGGGTGAGCTCAAAGGGCTCTTGCAGAAGACCCCTGCCTGGGACAGCCCTGTTGCCTCCTTCCCAGCCTGCTTGTAGAGAGCTAAGCATCCCTGGTTTGTGCTTGGCAGGTGAAAGATCTGGCTTCTGTCTCCTTGAAGAACCCTGTCCGGATATTTGTGAACAGCAACACAGACGTGGCTCCCTTCCTGCGGCAGGAGTTCATACGGATCCGGCCTAACAGGGAAGGGGACCGGGAAGCCATTGTGGCAGGTGAGCGCCCAGGTCAGGACTGGACTGGAGGTGGTCGACTCCCTTGGCCCCATGGGTGTTCACACTGAAGCACTTGGGTTTTGCCTTCTTATCTTCTCTATCTGTTCTTCCCTGAGCCACGCTGCTTTTTATCCATTCTCGTTCCACACCCCCCACCCCACACTGGCCAGCCAGCTCCCAACCACTTTCCAGTTGCCGCTCTAGCCCTTCAGTCCAGCAGCCTGGATGGTTGCTGCAGCCTCTTCTGTGCTCTTCTTGCCTCTGCTCGGCCCTCTTGGTATTCATTCTGCATGCTCAGGTCTATAAACTGCTGTCCTAGATCTTCCTTTGCAAAAGAACATTTGCTCTTCTTACTTCCTTGCTTAACTTCCTGTGGTGGCTTCCATTCCAGACTCCCAAGTGAGTCCTTCAAGACTCTGCGACCTGGCCTTTGCCTGCTTGGAGTCCCCAGCCGTGGAGCCTTGTTCATGGCTCAAACCACCTTCTTCTGGTTGTGCCTTCTCACCCCACCAAGCTTGTTCTGCCTCTTTGACTTTACATTTGCTCTTTCTCCTGCCTGGCTTCTCACCCGCAGTTGTTCTGTGGCAGTTGTTCCTGCCTTGTCATCCCCACTAAGTGACTCCTTCAGAGAGGCCAGCCCTAATGCTGCCTCCCAGCCTCCCTTCACTCTGAAGATCTTTTCCACCCTTGGGAATTGGCTTCTCTGTCTTTGCCCTGGGATAGGTGAGAGATCCACAGGGAAGGGCCAGGCCTGTCTGCCAGTGGTGACTCACTCTTCTCCCTGCCAGCTCTGCTGACAAGAACCTTCACTGACCACGTGATGCTGTTCACCCAGACCAAGAAGCAGGCCCACCGCATGCACATCCTTCTGGGGCTCCTGGGCCTGCAGGTGGGCGAGCTCCACGGCAACCTGTCACAGACACAGCGGCTGGAGGCTCTGCGGTAATGTTTGGGGTGGGGCGGGGGCTCCTCCACCCTCCTCTGCAGGTCCCTGAGGGCTCTCCTCATTGGATAGGGGGAAAGCTGTATTTGGGGGTTATGTTAGAGCCATAGCAGGGGTGCAGATGGCACAACACCCTGTTTGAGACCGTTCAGTCCAACCCAGTGCGTGCTGCTGGACCTGTAGGCCCAACTGCTTGGGAGGCTGAGGCAGGAGATCACTAAGCAAAAGCCTGTTTCAAATTTTTTTTTGGTCTGGGTGTGGTGGTACACAGCTGTAATCCCAGCACTTGGGAGGCCTGGGCTACATAGTGAGATTCTGTCTCAAAAAAGAAAACAACAAATCTGAGCCTTGTGAAGTTGCATCTTAGATGCAGTAAGAACGTTTTTCCATCTTTGTTGGGGGTGGGGGGCCCTCGTGCCCCAGGATGCACATCTTGTATGGGAGCTGCTGACCCAGGAAGACACCACACTGTCTCTGCATTTGTCTCTGAGCAGTGCGTATGTACTGTGAGTGAGTGAGATTTAGACTCAGAGGTAGCAGCAAAGTGCCCAGCCTTTGCTTTGTCAGGCTCCATGCAGGGTCCTTTTCTATGTGGTTTCTCATCCACTTCACAGAATAGTGGCTGGAGGCGAGGGCCCCATATTGTTTACCTACTCTGTGTATCACGGGGTGGAGGGGTGAGGTGGGGTAGAGCAGGGTGGCTTGAACCCACGGCAGTTGCCTCTGCTTCCCTATAGCCCAGCTCTGCTTTCCACACTTGATTCTGCACAGGAAGTACTGCTGAAGGTAGTGCACTGCCACTCTCGCCCTCCAACATGAGGGGAGGGTGTCAGATAGGTTGACATTTGGAACCTGTCCCCACCAGCGGGGCTGGGGCTCCATGTAGAGCAGTTGCCTGGCATGCGCAAGGCCCTGGGTTCTATCCCCAGCACACACTCCCTCCTGTACAAAATCATTCTGTCCCCACAGTGATGTCCTACACCAGGTTGCTTGACTCCCGGAGGCTTTGGTGACTCTCAGGTTCAGGCTCCCAGGGAGCATGTTGGGGCAGGGTATCCAAATAAGCATCTCTGTGGCTCTTTTTAGGCGCTTTAAGGATGAACAGATTGACATCCTTGTGGCTACAGATGTGGCAGCCCGTGGACTTGACATTGAGGGCGTCAAAACGGTGAGTGGGTCCTGTCTTCTTTGTTCTTAGGAGTCTTTTTGCCTGGCACCTGCCCCCGGCCAGCATGGCTGACGCTCAGTTCTGACCTTGCAGGTGATCAACTTCACCATGCCCAACACCGTGAAGCACTATGTGCACCGGGTGGGGCGCACAGCACGTGCCGGCAGGGCTGGACGCTCAGTCTCCCTTGTGGGAGAAGAGGAGCGGAAGATGCTGAAGGAGATCGTGAAGACCGCCAGGGCCCCCGTGAAAGCCCGGATCCTCCCCCAGGGTGAGGAGGCACAGCCGTACTAGTGAGGCGTGTCCAGGGGCAAGGCGGGGCAGAGCATGCTGTGATCATGGCCAGCTTGAGGCCCAGCTTGGCCACCTCCTTGCTGAGTCTCCTGGGCAGGTCTCATCTCTCTGCGTTAGGCTTCTGTATTGTTGGAAATCAGTTAATAAGTAAAAACCTAATTCTGTGTCAGAGCTCAGCAGTGTTAGCACTTGGCACCTCACCTTTTAGGCTTTTCTCATTCACAGGCATCTCTTTTCTCATTTTCACCCACTAGCTGTTGGGCATTGCTGAGTGCCCAGTTCCAGTGCTTCTGTTTAGGGTTGAGATGAAGTAGGGAGCCAGACAGCTGCCTTCTGGTGTGGAAAGATGTGACCTAGGGCTACAGGAGAGGTGCTGCTCTAGGGAAGCTACTCTGGACAGGCCTCTGAGCAGCTGGCATTGAGCTGAGACCTGGGTGATAAGAAAGAGGGGGCCATGATTGGTGGGTGTCTTTCTGCCTAATGGGGAGGGAGGATCAGGAGGCCTGGGGCGTGGTGAGCTGGGAGATTATTAGAGTTTAAGAGAGGCAGGCAGGGCCACTCTTAGGAGTTTGAAATTGAGTACCAGAGCAACAGGAAGCCTTAGGTGCACTTTTTTTTTTTCTTTTTGTGATGGGGTCTGATTGTTTTGTCTAGGTGGCCCCAAATTCCTGTGCTTGGCCTTCTGAGTAGCTGAAGCTACAGACCTGTGCACTGCCACACCCAGTTCTTAGTGGGTTTTCTTTTTTGTTTTGAGTTTTGGTTTTTTTTTTGTCTCTGTTGGGGGATTTTTTTTTTCTTTTTCTTTTTTTTAAACACGTCTGGAACCATTGCATAGAAAATTCGATAACTGCAGACTGATGGCCAGGAGCCATCTGTTTTGGTGTGTGTGACTGTCTGTGGTTGCATCATACAACTGATGAATACAGGTGGATGTTCAGTGGAGAAGTCATGTTAAAAACTGCACTGGTTTGTTTTTAGAGGACTGGGGTTTGAACTCAGAGCTTTGCCCTGGTTATTTTTGAGATGGGGGTCTCACAGTCTATTTGCTAGGGTTGACCTTGAACCCTGATTCTCTTGATCTCGGCCTCCCAAGTAGCTACGATTACAGATGTGAGCCATTGATAACCAAAAACCACTTTTCTATGTCAGTAAATAAACATCTGCATTATTTTCATTAGCTCTATGGAATTAGTACTCATCCTTGTTTTTAAATCCTTTTTATTCTTTTCCCTTTAGATGTTATCCTCAAATTCCGGGACAAGATTGAGAAAATGGAGAAAGACGTGTATGCAGTGCTGCAGCTGGAGGCAGAGGAAAAAGAGATGCAGCAATCGGAAGCCCAGGTGAGGCTGTGGGGAGGGCCTCACCCCCAGCAGCTCAGTGAGCAGCCCAAGGGTCTCCATGGTCCCATTCTTGGAAGTGCTCATCTAGCAGCAGTGGCTGCCTGCAGCTCACGGATGAGCAGGTGCAGGGTTCATGGCAGGCATCCTTGGGCTGCCCTTACAGATCAACACAGCAAAGCGGCTCTTAGAGAAGGGGAAGGAAAAGGCAGAACAAGAACCTGAGAGGAGCTGGTTCCAGACCAAAGAAGAGAGGAAGAAGGAAAAAAGTAAGTCAGACCAGGCATAGTGGGGCCCACCTATAATCCCAGCTCTTGGGAGGCTGAGGCAGGAGGGTCTCAAGTTCAAGACCAGCCTGTACTACATAGTAAGACTTGTCTCAAAAAGGAAAAAAAAAAATGCTGAACATAGAATTACCATCCACCCAATTCCATTTCTAGGTATATATTCAAAAGAACTAAAAACAGGGATTCCAGCAGCTACTAGTATGCCAGTGTTCCTTGAAACACGAGTCATCATAGCCAGAAGGCAGTCACAGAAGTGCCCATCCAAAGATGAATGGATGAACAAAGTTACTTCTGTGTGTACATCTCTTACTTGTACAGCCAAAATGAGGTGTGAAACGCGTCACACAGATGAACCTGAAAACATCCTGAGTGAAATAAGGCGGGCACAAAAGGATAAACACCTAGATAGAGGTCACAGAGGTCACGTAGGGCTAAGGGAAGGGACAGTTACTGCTTAGTGGTTGCAGAGCTGCCGCTGGGGAGGATGGTGGTGGAAGGCCACCTCTGTGGACAGGTGGTAGTGGTGGGTACTCAATATCCTGAGCTTAACTAACCCACTCAGTTCTGCAGATTGGATAAAATGGCAAGTTTTGCTACATATGTTTTGCCACAATTAAAAACATTCAGGAAAAGGTAACAGCTTGAATTCCCAGTGTTCTGCAGACCTTTGTCACCAAGTTTTACCACTCCAGATCATTTCATTTATTTATTTATTGCAGTACTGGAGTCTACAAGGTGTAGGCCACTCCACCAGCCCTTTTTTGTGAAGGGCCTTGCGAACTGTTTGCCAGGGCTGGCTTCAAACTGCAATCCTCATAATCTCTGGCTCCTGAGTTGCTAGGATTACAGGTGTGAGCCACCGGTGCCCAGCTCCCAGATCATTTTACATAGGCATGTGCACAGCTACTTTGTTTTTATTTTATTTTTTTGTCAGTACTGGGGTTTGAACTCAGCCTCACGCTTGCCAGGCAGGCGCTGTACCACTTGAACCACTTGGCCAGCCCACCTCCTTTGTTTTGAAGTGGCTGTGTAGTCTTCCGTCATATGAGTAGATTGTAATTTAACTTGTCCCATTGAGGGACATTGAGAGTTTTTGCATTGTAAACAGGTGATAGTGATGACCTTGTACATGTGCCCTTTTAAATTAGAAATATTTATTTAACTTACAGGATAAATTCTTAAAAGTGGGATTGCAGGTCAGAGGGTATGCATAATTTTGTTTGGTAGATTTCAAAATTACCCTTTATACAGGTTGCACCCTCAGTCTCGGAAATACTGCCTGTGTTTGATGGAACAAAAAAATGAGGGTGTATAAATATTTACATTAAAAAGAGTTTTAACTGCACAGAGGAAGGACCGGAGTAGTATAAGTAAAGCAAGTCTTCATCTTCCATGACAGGGGTTGATAGATAATGCGTGCCTTAAAAGGATTACTGAGGGAATTAATAGTCAAACAAGCTTGTTAGTTAGTGAGCTGAGGTGATCAGCAGAGGAAGTGGTTTGCTCCTTTTCATAAAAGGAGTTACATCCCTGTATAGCTATGCTTATCTCAACCAGCAAAAACCCATGTTCCTTCCTATTATTGCTTATACTCTCTCTTCAACAAAATTAGAGATAAGGGCAAAATAGTTTCTGCCGGGTATTGAGGGGGCGGGGAGGAGAGGGAGGGGGCGGAGTAGGTGGTAAGGGAGGGGGTGGGGGCAGGGGGAAGAAATGATCCAAGCATTGTATGCACATATGAATAATAAAAAAATAATTAAAAAATAAATAAAAATAAAAAAAATAAAAGTTACAAACTCTTACTCCAATTTGAAATGGGAGCACTAAAAATGGTCTCTGAAATCACATGCTCTCTTCTCATCCCAGTTTCCAAGGCTCTGCAGGAGTTTGACTTGGCCTTAAGAGGAAAGAAGAAAAGGAAGAAATTCATGAAGGATGCCAAGAAAAAGGGGGAGATGACGGTGAGTTGCCTCCCCTTTGGAGTTGGGCTCCACCTGGGGCTGGGTTAGAGTGCTTGTGCCACATTTACCACTCCCCCCTTCTTTCTCCTCAGGCAGAAGAAAGGTCCCAGTTTGAAATCCTCAAGGCACAGATGTTTGCGGAGAGGCTGGCCAAGAGGAACCGCAGAGCAAAGCGGGCCCGGGCCATGCCTGAGGAAGAGCCAGAGAGAGGCCCTGGTAGGGGGATGGGGAGCCTTCCCTGAAACCTGTGCTTGGGGGCAAGGAGAAAATTTGAGGGATGATGACAGTAGCCCGTTTGTTTTGAGTAAGTGGTATGTGCCAGTGCATACAGTTGTCCCTTTATTGGCTCCGTGAAGTGAGTGTGAAGAGAGCTAGGATTGGAGCCCAAGTCCTTACTGCCACTACTTGGAGGAGTTGGTGAGGATCAGATGAAGTGATAACAGTTTTTGACGGCGAGCATCCACAGAACTTGGTGTTGTTACCCAGAGCTTAAGGGCCTTAGGAGCTAGGGCCAAAGGGGGTCATATGTAACTGTTCTCTGTGTGCACAGGCAAGAAGCAGAAGCAGAGGAAGATATCTGTATTTGATGAAGAACTCACCAACACGAGCAAGAAGGCCCTGAAACAGTATCGAGCCGGGTAGGGTTGGAGCCTTTGCCATTTTGATGGAAACTGAATCTTTTGCCTCCTTGCCTGTTCCCCATTCTCACCTACCTACAGCGTCATAGTACATAACCTCAAGGGCACCCATCTGCACTCCTCTTCCCCACCACCTGTTGTGGAGCCCAGAGTGAGATCCGGAGAGGGGTAAGGAACCTCTGCTGTCTGCAGTGGTGCCCTCCTGCCTGTTCGAGTGCAGATGGTTGCTTACTTTCCCTCAGGCAGGGTAATGACTCAGGCTCAGTCCTGTAGAACCCCAAACAGGATTCTGGCTTGCCTCAGGGGACCTGCTGCCTTGCCATGTTTCTGGCCCAAGGCTGAGGGGAAGAGACTACACTTCCTACGTAGTTTTAGTGCACACAGGCTGTGCTAGATTTTCACCATTGTGACTAAACACCTGACAAACATCCTAACGGAGGGAGGATTTATTTTGCTCATGATTTCAGAGGTTTCAGTCCATCATGGCTTGAAGGGTATGGCCAAACACGGCAGCTCCACCACTGCAGCCAGGAAGCAGAGACAGAATGCCTGTGTTTGCTGGCTTTTTCTTTCCCCTTCTTTTCCATGCAAGCTCCCAGCCTATGGGGTGGTGCCACCCACATTCAAGGCGCATCCTCCCGAGTTAACCCTTTCTGGAATTACCCTCATGGACACTCCTTGAGATGGGCTTTACCACTGCTCTCCTAGGTGTCTCTTAATTGAGTCTGGTTGACAACTAGGATTACCATCACGCAACAGGCCAAGAAGGCTTGTTTTAAAGCGCGGGCCTGACTTCCAGGAGGCATGGTATCATGTGGAAACATGTAGGCTTGGAACCCAGGCCCTCAACACTGCTACTGCATCCCAGCAGTGCCAGGGTCGGGGTGGGGGTGAGTCTACGTGTCCAGCAGCTGCCTGTCTCACATCTCTTCTCTCACTCACAGTCCTTCCTTTGAAGAAAGGAAGAAGTTGGGTCTGCCCCACCAGAGAAGAGGAGGGAACTTTAAATCTAAGTCCAGGTGACGTTGCAGCTTGGGAAGGCCGGGGTTGTACCTGGGGGCTGGAGAAGGCTGCTTTCTTGGAAAAGGGTCCGTTCTGGCTTCGTGGCAGAGTGGTTGCCCAGCATGTGTGAGGCCTGGGGTCCCATCCCCAGCACCACACAAAAACAAAGGGAGCTGTTCTGCCTCTTTTTGGTCTTTATCCTGATGATTTTCTCATTAGGTACAAGAGGAAGAAGTAGCCATGAAAGCCTGAAGTCCACGGAGCGGCCTTAAATCCCTTCCTTGTGGGAAGTTGTCTCAATTTCATTCACCTTTTCTCCACTTGTAAAGAAATTCTTGAAAAGTCTGTCACTTGTGTATTTAAAAAAAAAAAAAAGTTGGGGGTGGTGTCTGTAGCTATATCCTAATAGTTAGCCACGGCTCCTTTCTTGCTCATTAGCTTTCATGTAATAAACACGCCAGACAAGGTCTGATTGGGAGAGGGGAAGAAACCAGTGGTATAGTTTGCCGCACTCCGTCCACTAGCTGGACATCATCACAAACACTTGGGATGCATGGTTTCTCTGTGCTGGTAGAGGGGCTCAGTATGGAGGGAGGACTTCTTCCTCATTCTCTTCAGCAGCTGTCACTACTGAGCACTGACCACAGCCGGGCATCGGCAATGCTGAGCAGCATCTGATTCAGTTCTGCATGCCCACAAGGCAGGTACTGTTTCTCCCATTTTGTTGATAAAGAAACAGGCTTGGGCTAGCTAAGGATTCCTTCCATGAGCAAGTCTCTGGGTTCCATCCTCAGTGCCACAATATGAAAAAAACAAAAAAAAACCAAACCAGGCTTAAAAGACAAACTTTGCATAGCTGGACCTAGGTTTGAGGTTTGTGAATCTCACTGCTACACTGTGGAAGAGCTGCTAGTGAGGTGAGGCTGAAAGGGGCAGAAGCCTTGATGCAAAATTAGCCCCTTGTGAAAAACAGCCCTGCAGAATAGTTCTCATTTTTGAGGAGGAAATGAGCTGTGGGGCAGTCACTGGGCAAAACAGTTTACTCCTGTGCAATTTCAGGGAGCACATATGCCCCCACACCTCAGCTTAGAAATTAGTTTTCCAATGGCACATTAAAGTGTGTTGGGGTTTGTTTTGTCTCATTGGCAATACCAGGGATTGAACTCAGGGCCTTGCATTTGCTAGCCCCCTAATGTGTGCTCAGTGTTGTCTGTGCAGCTTATCTGCCAACACCAACTTAAGGGCCATTTCACTCACCAATGGAATGTGGTTCAGAACCACGTCTTTGTGGCCTTGGCAGAAAGATCCCTAAGTAGGTTATTAGGCTAAACAAGCCAAATGGTGTAGGCTCCCTTAGTAAACAGTGTACACAGGCTATGTACAGACTATCCTAGGGAGGACTCACGAAGTGAACATTGGCTCTGGGGAAGGGAACATTTCAAGTGTACCCTTTTATATAGGTTGAAAATTTTTTTCTTTACACTATGGGTTGAAAGGACTCGTGCCTATAATCCTAGCTACTCAGGAGGTAGACATCTGGAGGATTGATGTTTGAAGCCAGCCTGGGCAAATAGTTGAGACCCTATCTTGAAAACACCAATCAAAAAAAAGCTGGTGGAGTGGTTCAAGGTGTAGGTCATGAGTTCAAACCACGCCCCCCCCCCAAAAAAATCATGAGCTAAATAAATCAAATCCCCATACAAAAATAAAAGTATGGCCCCACTGTAGATAGAACCTGCCCCGTCCTGTCTTCACTGTCTCAGGCTGCCTGAATGCTTCTGAAAGGTAGGACAGACATGGACCACTGATGTTCTCATTGTTTTTATTAATTGGCTTTATAAGCTAAAGTGCATAGTAAAGACAAAAAAGGAAATGCATACATAGGAAAGAGGCTTTTATCTAGCCGGCATTAGAAAGGACCTGAGATGCCTAAGTGTTTTCTAGGGAACACCGGGTGGAGGGACGCGGCAGGCTTGGTGCTGGCGTGTGGCCTAAGGCTGGGGCCTGCAGAAGCTGCTGGCATGCTAACCCTGCCCAGGCAAAAGCTGCAAGGGAGGTGCTGGGATGGAGGCTAACACCTGGGGGAGGTGCTACCAAGCCCCTCCTACAGTGGGTAAAGGAACTTCCGCTGTCCAAGTGCAAATCACAGAAAAGGGTACCGGGGTCACTCCCTTAGCCCAGGCCTACTGCAGAGCCTCCACAGAAGCGATACACTTCCCCACTTCAGTGAGCATGGAACTGGGTAGGGAGTTAAGTCTCACTTGCCTGTCTCCTGGAGGATGGGCGCCCAAGGGCAGCAGAGATTCTTATGCTCCTTGAAGGGATAAGCGGGTAATAAAACTCTGGGCCTCTGGTCATTAGAATGCAAGTTAGTTTGCAAGGTAGGGCCTGGCAATTAGAATCAGATGACTTCACTAAGCTCAGACTCCGCCATGGGAACATAAGGAAACCAACATCTGACACGTCAGAACCCACGGATGCCACTACACAGCCCTAGGTGGAAGTCCCAGATGCTCCATGGAGTCTGCCCACTAACCTGCTGCAGGAGAAAGGTGACATCTTTTAACTCTGCTCAGTTCTGGAGGTAAAGTGCTTACTCTAGCGCAGGGTTACATCTAGAATCAAATGTGGGCAAGCCCTAAAAGTGGATCCTTAAACAGGTGCAATAACACAGACACTACTAAACTGGTTCCTTCAAAAGGGAGCCGACCCCAGCCATGTGTGGCCAAGGCAAAAGCTGTGCTGTCTTCCTATATCATCCTCCGGATCTCCTCGAAGTTCATCAGGTTGTTGGCCGTGTCAGACCAGGCAGGGTGCTGTGCTCCGTCCATCTCAGAAGCGAGCTGGTTGCTCCCTTCCAGAGTATGACTTACGCCACCAATCACCTCCTGACAGTCAGGACAGGTGCTCCTCTCCATGGCTCCCCCGCATTCACTAATCAGATAGATGTGACCATTGGGGCATTTGAACCAGTGGCCACGAGGATAGCCCATGGCAGTGACAATCTGCACTCGCTCTTCCTCTGAGATGCCCAGGCCAGAGCAGGGAAGGGTGGCTTTCAGAGCATCCATCTTTTTCTGCACAAGCTGTTCATCCTCCTGGGTGAACTTACATGTTCTCTCCAGGATACTCCGGATGCTGAAGACCTCTTCCGCTACACTGCCTCTCACCTTCCCTTCCGCCATCTTGCAGCGGGTCAGTAGGTTCACCAAGTATGTGAGCCTCTGGATCTCACGCTGGAGGTCACTCAGTTCCTGGCTGGTGAAGCTCAAGCGCTTCTTGGCCAGCCACTCATGGACCTGGTCTAGTCGAGTCCTCACTCTTTCTTGGTCAAAGACTTGAACCTTTTTCAGAGAATCCCATAGTTTAGCCAAGTGGTCATAGAAGCTGATGTAATTCTCAACAAGGCCCAGGTCCTTCACTGATAGATTTTTCTGGGCCAGCTTCTCGTTGAGCATCTGGAAGTCTTCAGGAAGCAGCTGATGAAGGAGGCTCTTACTCTCCAACAGGGCCTTAAGTTGTTCCTGGCTGGTTGCAATTTCACCTGCAGAGCCCTGGATCTTTTCCTTGACAACTTCAATCTCTTCCAGCCGCTGTTTTATGCTGGTTCCATACCTCAGGTTTTTGCGGATGGGCACTTGGCAGATAGGACAGACCTTCAACCTGATAGCAACTTCGTCATCCTTCTGCTCATTCATGTAGCGGTCCAGGGCTTGCACCTCGAAAATGTGGCTGCAATCTTCTAGCTGCACAAAGCGGGCATCAGGCTCATCCTCAAAGCCGAAGAAGATCTGGGTGACCTCATCCAAGTGGCAGACACGGCACTTCTTGGGGCATGGTTCCCCACACAGACCAATGCAAGGGTGGCCACAGGCCAGCAGCTTAGTACAAGGCACATAGCATGGGGGACGGTTGCAGGGCTCGGAGCAGAGTTTGGTGCACTGATAGTGCTGGCAACGCCAGACACAGGGCTCCACGCAGGGGCTGCACAGCTCCCCACACTTCTTCCTGCACTGACTGTGGACACAGCGGTTCTGACACGTCCGCTGGCAGGGTGGGCATTCACCAATGCATGGCTCCTGGCACTTGTGTGAGCAGATGAGCAGGCGCCTGCAGGGCTTCTGACAGCGCTCGTGGAAGCGCCCTTCAAAGCAGCTGTGGCAGGACCCGGGGCAGGGATGCCCACAGTCCAGTGTGGCACCACATTTGGTGGCACACTTGACTGGCAGGTTGTACTTGAGGTCTTCCACATTACCACACTTTACCTGTTGGTTGTGACCACACTTGAGCATCACGGTGACCATTTCTGAGCAGAGCCGCACACAGTCCTCACCACATGGGTGGCTGCATCTGTGGCCGCATCTCAGGACCTTGGGGCAAGGCTCCTGGCAGCAGAAATCTAACTCCAGCACTGAACAAGGGACCATCTGCTCATGGCCACACTGAGGAATGGTTTTAGGCACCTTCACCTGACAAGGCTGACACTCTTGGAAGCAAACAAGGGGGCACCGGTGCCCATCTGGACAGATGACCTTCTGGCATGGCTTCATGCACTGGAACTCCTTGTGTGAGGAGTCGTAAGGGTGACAGGCACGAGTGCAGACGTGCCCACAGCCCAGCCGGAATTCACAAGGCAGGCTACAGCCTCCCTCTGGCACTTTTTGGAAGTCAGAAGCTTTGGATACTGAGGTGTGGGTGTCAGGGTGGTTCTGGCAGCAGAGCTGGAGCGCCTGGCCTATCTGATTGCTCTCCCGCAGCGTGTGAATGATCTTGCTCCACAAGGGCACCCTGGCCAGCACTTGCATGTTCCCAATGCAGTACATCCCCTTCTTGGCTCGAGACAAGGCCACACAGATGCGGTTGGGTATCTGGAGAAAGCCCACCTTGCCCTCCTGGTTGCTACGCACTAGTGAGAGAAGGATGATGTCATTCTCTTCCCCTTGGTATTTGTCCACAACATGGACCTTAACGCCAGCAAATGTCTTGGCAGGCATGAGTTTGCGCAGGCAAAAGAGCTGTCCAGTGTAAGTGGTGAGGATGGTGATCTGGGAAGGCAGGTACTCCTGGCACAGGAAGTATTTGCACAGCTCTACCACAAAATGAGCCTCGTGCTGGTTCTGATGGCTTTTGCCTTCTTGGATCTCCTGTTCAGGAAAGTTATGCTCTACAAAGAAAAGGTTGGAAGAGACTCCCTGAAAAGGAGAACAGTGACATGTTAGAAGGTTCCCGTGTGGCCCTTGTTTTATGCTGTATCTTCATGTGCCACTGACCCAGGCAGACATTTTGGTACCAGCCATCTCACAAACTGCACTTGTGAAGTTAGTCACCATGTGCTTTGTTTTGGGGTCATGGCAAATTATGATTTGGACAAGGAATTTATGCCTGTTTCAGCTTTCATGTGTTTGATATTAATGTTTTTGTTTTTGCAGTGCTAGGGATCAAACCCAGGGCCTTGCTCATGCTAGGTTAAATGCTCTGCCAAGCTACATCCTCAGACCTTTTTTTTGTTGTTGTTGAGATAGGGTCTCACTATGTCACTTAGGCTGACCTCAAACTTGTAATCGTTCTGCCTCCAGCTCCTAAGTGCTGAAATTACAAACATGTATCGTGATGAATGGCTTGCTATTAAAGTTTTAACAGCCAACCACAATCCAACCATTGTGACCAAGGGAACAAGCAGCTAATGTGTTGACAGTGCGATCAGTGTTCTGAGCACTCCACGGTGCTGACTGCTTTACATAGATTTTCTCCTGTGTAGGCAGTGGGATGAGGCAGAAGCCATCATTCTCACTGAACAGAAGACCCTGCCTGACACCCAGACACCTAACTTGCTCCTGGTTATGCAGCTACTAAGTGACAGAGTTGGGATTCAAAAGTCCAGGTCTGAATTCTCAGTTTCTACACTGCTCCTCCTCCCAAGAAGCAGCATTTTTAAAGCTGGGTCTATTCCCTTCTGAAAGCCTTTTCTCATCTTGAGGAAGATAGTCTCCTGGGTTTGGACCCCATACTCACCTTAATCTTCTCATACTTGAGAACAGAGGGGTGATTCTCCAGATCATGATAAATGTGGGGGGTCAAAAGGCGGGCAATTTCAGGGCACATGCGGTGCTGAAACAACACACGTCATTAGAAACATGCACAAAGGACAATTTCCACAAAGGCTATTTTGCTGGCTGAAAATCTAGAGAAGTACCATTTGAAAAGACTGATAGGGAGAAAAACATAATGTAAATAGTCCTCCATCTAACAAGACATACAGGGTGACTGTGACGGAGCATTTCATCACTAAACCAGTTTCATTTTTATGAGCCCTCACGTACTGGCAGTTGGCAAGCTCCCGGGAGCCTTTTCCTGGTGGTTATTTGGTAGTAACAGAGGCCCAGCTTCTTACCTGGTAATTCAGACGGACAAAGGGAACATTTACTTTCACTAGTCGTTCAAAAAGGGACACCTCAAGATTGAAGTTCTTGGCCAGATCATACACGTTGGCACTGGGGCGCAGCTAAGAAGAGAAACACGGTTGAAGATTCTTTACTAAAACATATTTTAACCAGCCATGGATCCAGACTGCAACTATTTTTCAAGTACCTCCCATATGCTATGTACTATTCTAGATGCTGACAGGTTAAGGATTAATAGTGACAAGGACTATGAAGACAAGAACCAAGGACGTGACAGTGTGTGTGTGTGGGGATATCCTTTATCTAGGCCTCTCTGAACAGTGACATCTGAGTTGACTCCAACATGGACAAGGTTATCAGCCATCTAGTCATTTGAAAAGTAGGAGCGGGATGGCAGGGATAAATGAGATGAAATCAAAGAAACAGGGTAAAACCCAATTTTATTGGCCTTTATAAGCCAAAAAGTTAGTAGTAAACTCAAGGACTATTGAAACAGAATGGCCAGGGTCTTCCTATGTAATCTGTCTGTCTCACCGCAGACAGCCAGCCCATCTTCCAGGGGCTCCTACTTTACCTGCTGATGGTCCCCAATCAGAATGAGGTGCTGGCAAGCTTTGCTCAGTGTGGCAATGGTGTGGGCCTCAAGAACTTCAGCAGCCTCTTCCACAATGACAATCCGAGGCTCCACCTTCTGCAGGACCTGGCGGTATTTGGCAGCACCTCGAGTTGGAAGAGGAAAGCAGCTTCTGAGCTGAGACACAGGTCTCACAGGGCTGCCCTCTTTTGCCTCCTCCCTGCTGTTTTTTGTTGTTTATGTTTTTTTGAACTGTGGCCTGTCTAAAGCTACACCGCTTTTTTTTTTTTTTTTTTTTTTTTTTTGTGGGACAGGGGTTTGAACTCAAGAGCTTGCCTCTTTCCTGAATCTGGGTTGGTGACAAGTAAACCCTCAGGGCCGCCTAGGGCTGAAGAGAGAAGGAGCACTGGCTGTTCGGGACTCAGGGCCTTATATCCACACTGGCCATTGCTGGGGTTTCAAGCTCAGCCGCAGAAACTCACCAAGAATTCCCAAAGTGTGAGTTGCTTTCAGTCATTTTCGATGTTACTCCCTTTCACCTACTCCAGAAGCTCTAGGAGCTGGGGATGTAGCTCAGGGGCAGAGCGTTTGCCTAGAAAGTGCCGAGGCCCTGTTCAATCCCCAGCACTACCACCACCAAAAAAAAAAAAAAAAAAAAAAAAAAAAGCAGCTCTATTTACCTAGGGACTCTTGACAGGATCTGGGTGCCAGACATGAACTTGGCTGGAACAGGCAAGCTCCCTCACACTTTCTTACCTGTGGTTGTCATTCCTATGACCTGGGCATCTTTTAGGATGTGCAGGTCTTCCTGTAGTCTCAGCTCAGCCATTCTCTCTGCAGATGTGCGGTACTGGCGTTCATAGCTGAGGATCTTCCGGCGAGTGTCAGCCTGGTACATCTGCAGCCACAGCCTGGAGAACAAGGGAAAGGAAGCCATGTGATCTTTGAGAAGGCGGAGGAAGCCCTTTCCAGTGTGCCAGTATGTGAACTCTAGACCCTTGAGAAGAGAGAGAGAGACCCAGATATACAGAAACCAGGAATCCAAAAGGCCCAAGAAAAGATGTATAGGGTAGACAGAAGCTAAAAAAAGGAGCTGGAAAAGATAGATGACGACTCTACTCTATTATAAAACCTCCCAGATACCCTCACCATTCCTCCCCAGAGCAGCAGAAGGCTCTGACCAGTTTGACCCAGGCCTACCCTTCTCACTTCACTGGCCATCTCCCTCCTGGTGCCAGAGCCATGCTGGCTATGCATTTTCTTTCCACTTCTTTTTTCCTGGTACTGCGGTGTGAACTCAGGCTTTGTGTTTGCTAGGCAGGTGCTCTGCGGTTTGAGCCATGCCTCCTGCCCTCTCTCCACTGCCCTCTCTCCAATTCTTAATGCTGCATGCTCCCACCCATCTCAGGGCCTTTGCCTAACTGGTTCCCAAAGCCTCACCTGTTCCCCCTTTCCCACTAGCCTTGATCTTGCCTCTAAAGTCACTTTCTTAGATACCTCAGACAAGCCCTGATTCCAGGTAACAATCTTAGTACACCCTGTTTTTTTTTTTGGCAGGAATGGAGTTTGAACTCAGTTGCAAAGCAGGTGCTCGAGTACTTGATCCATACCCTCAGGCTCTCACTAAGTTGCCGGGGTTGGCCTTGAACCACACAATCCTCTCCTGCCTCCAACTGCTGGGGTTACAGGCAGATATCACTATGCCTGACACTCCCTGCTTTTTTTCTTTCTTAGTATTTATGCCACTTGCAGTTTTTTATTTGTGGACTGTGTGATGAATTTCTTTGCAGACAGACTCTAAGCTCCATGAAGGAAGATCAAGAAGGAGATTCTACGCTATGGCTGCATCCTAGCACTCATTGTTGAAGGTCTTTGGTGTCCCGGGGACATAAAGGGAACTTTCTGGGGAAATGATGTGGGCTGGTTGGGGTTGGGCACAGTACCTGTAAAGCCGCCAGCGAGAATTCAGGTCCAGCTGCCACAGGTCCTGGATCTCACTGGCCTCAGCCTCAGTCATGGTATTCAGTTTGCGAAGCTCAGCCTTCACTCTCTTCTTCATTTTTTTTTTCTGGCTGCGCTGGGTCTATAGACATCAAAACCAGGCAGGGTACCGTCTGAGCACAGGCCAAGCCCAGTTCTAAGCAAGCCCAAAGCAGGGGGCCCACCACATAAGCCAATGGGCTGTCACCACTGGAGCACTGTGGTGTCTCACCCTCCCCCAGCAGCTCCTCCACCGCAGAGTGGCTCAGCAAGAACTCTGGAGCCAGTCTAACTCTTCTCAGGCTGTGGGACTTAGGGCAAGTCACTTAACTTCTATGTGCCTTGGCATCTCCTTTGTAACAGGAGAAGACAGTGTCTCTTCAGAGGGTTGGTAGTCTAATGGAAATGGAAGGAGTGAACAGATGGAAAGCACTTCCAGTAGCCCCAGAACTCGTCCTTGCTTAGCATCTTTTTGACATTTCCAAGGCACATGAGTCAAGAGCAGAGGGGGGTGCACTCAGTGAATGCTGTGCCTAGCAGCTGCTGCTTGGTGCAGAGCTTGGCACAGGCCTGCTAAAATGGTGTTAAAGCCCTCACAGCATCTTTAATAAGTGGGTAAGAGGCACGGTTTTGGAGAAAATGCTTTCCTCTGTCACTGAGTGAGGCCACAAGCCTTTAGGACTGACACATGTCACCACACTAAAAACCCTCCTGTTCCAGTGCCACAAGGCAGAAAGATGTCTAATCCATGCTTCTACAGTTGGGCTCGTGACTTTGCTACAACATACAGTTGAGCTGAAAAGGCGTAAACCCAGTCAGGAGAAAACTCTTATCATCAAACTGCCTGACATTACATCGTCTGCAGGGTTTGCAAAGTGGTATTTTGAGTATCCAGTCTTCTGTCACCATAAGAACACACAGTAAATGCTCAACTAAAAGGAGCAGAGAGCAGGATGGCTCTACATGGAGCCATCTGAGCATTCGCATAGAAACGTCAAATTCCAGCACAAAGGAGGAGTGCCCCATCTAAAGGTGTAAGCCATGCTCACAGACTGTGCTTGGTAAGATAACCCTGAGGGCATGAAGTGTCCTAAAAGTCTGAGAGAAGCACTCAGCTATCTGCTTCCTGTGGCCAGGATCCCTCTGAATAGTTGTGATTCTTACACCTTTAGGATTGAGACCCGTATTATACCAAGGTTAGTTTGCAAAATGGGCACATTAGCTATCTAATTACTAATAATTAGTAATAGCAGTGGGGGAAGAGAGAAGTGGTCAGTACTCTCAGACCTGGCTCAGCAGTCTAACACAGCCGCCCGGCAGTATAGTAACTGCTGTTTTCTACTATGTTGGGGCTTTTAGGGAAGGAAGTGAGTTTACCTCCCACTCTTCTGTAGCTTGTTCCTGTCCAGCTGTGGTCCCAGGGCCATAGTGCTCTAGCCTCATGGCCAAAAGCATTTTGGCTAACTCCTGGTCTGCCCCATTCTCCTCCTTCTTCCGTCGCCGGGGTCTCACCACCTCTTCCTCCTCAATCACCCGGTCAGCTTGAATCAGGTCAGCCTCCTCTGCAATCTCAATCAGCGAACCCTCTTCCTCCCCTTCTTCTTCTTCTTCCCCTTCTGCATGGGCTAAGAGAGGAAAGCAGGTGGGACATGGATGGAGACTCTTGGAGCCAAGAGATGGAAGAGGACAACTATGACAGCTCAGATATAGGAAGACATTTTCTGCTTTTTCTTTTTTTAATTTTGTTTTGTTTTGTTTTTAGGAAGACATTCTCAAGTTTAAATGGTAGTCTGGGAAGCAAAACTGGGCAGAATGGACAGGGAGGGAGATGGCAAGCTCCTTCTTTTTTAAAAGTCATATGAATATGTTTGCCTTTTTTTTTGGCGATACTGGAATTTGAACTCGGGGCCTCACACTTGCTAGGTAGGCACTGTACTACTCCACCAGTCCTACGCATGCCCCCTCCCCTTTTTTCTTTTTTAATATGGAACGCTTTGCGAATTTGAGTGTTATCCTTGCACAGAGGCCATGCTAATCTCTATATCGCTCCAGTTTTAGTAGATGTGCTGCCGAAGCGAGCACCCTATGCATGCCCTTGTAAGAAAGGTTTTACTTACGTCAAATACAAAAGGTGGGGTAAATAAAAATACAATGTAAATATGTAATTTAAAGGAAGATAAAAGTATATGAAATGAACATCCAGGTACCTTCCACCCAATTTAAGTAGAAAACTACTTTTCTTACCTAAATTTCCTATTTCTCACTCCCCACTTAAAAATACAACACAACTTTACCATATAGATGCTATATGCTCTCTAAATGTACATTCTCTGTAACTTGCCTTTTCTATTCAGCATGTTTTTTTGTTTGTTAACTTTTTGAGACAGGGTCTTGCTACATAGCCCAGGATGGCTTTGAACTCAAGACCCTCCCTGCCCCAGTCTCCCCAGTGCTGGGATTATAGAAGTGTACCACAATACCCAGGGCCCATCCAGCACACTGCGTTTTCCTTCCTTTTCACTGTTGCACAGTATTTCATTATTGTAATTAGTAGTAACTGATCCATACAAGGCACAAACGTTGATGGACATTTGAGTTTCTGTTTTCCTGCTGTGTGCCAATGTGCACATCCACCAATAGTGTACCAGAGTTCCACTATTCTACATTCTTTTCAAGGGACTTTATTGAATTTTAATTTTTGCCACTTTAGTGGATATGTGATAGTATTTCACTGTGAATTTTTTTTTTTTTTTTTGGTGGTGCTCAGGTTTGAACCTGTTAGGCAGGTGCTCTACCACTTAAGCTACTCTGCCAGCCCATTGTGTTGGGTATTTTCAAGATACAGTCTCACAAACTCTTTGCCTAGGCTGGCTTCAAACTGCCACCCGCTTGACTTCTGCCTCCTGAGTAGCTAGGATTACAAGCATGAGCACTGGCACCCAGTTCCCCTAGTTTTGGGGCAGGTGCTCTACCACTGAGCTACATCCCAGTATTCCCGTTTTCTAATGATCACTCTTGGTGTCTGCTTGTCCACAGGATTTGTTATCTCACAATTGTGATGTGCCTGTTAAAATCCTATTATCTATCTTCCTATTTAGGGTTGGGTGCACAAAAATAGGGCTACTGGAATGGCTCAAGGTGAAGGCCTCGAGTTCAAGCCCCAATACTGCAAAATAAATAAATAAACATCTTCCTCTTTAGGTATTTGTGTTTTGCTGATTGACTCCCAGCTTTTTGTCTACTGTGGGAATTACTCTTAAGTCTGTCGTTTTGGTTGTTACTACATTCCAACCTAAGGTGGGATTTGAGATTGACGTGCACGTCTTACCTGTGTTCTCAGGTCCTGCTGGAGCAACATTTTGAGTGAAAGAACCGACACCCAGACCCAGCCACTCAAGCATCATGGAGTGCTTCCAGGGCTGGAAGTAGACCCATTCACTATCCTGAGGAAGGAAGAATCATCAGCGGTCAGAATTCTATGAGCACTGGAACGAAGGCAGAGTCTCCTCAAATAAATGAAAATAATCCCCCTGGGGCCTGGGGGTGAGCTCAGGTAGGGCCTTGCCTAGCATGTATGAGGTGCTGGGTTCCATCTCCAGCACTGAAAAAAAATTTCCCTTAAAATCTAGAGGTGGCAAACTGGTGTTCCTTGGGCAACTGCTACATTTAATATGACTTATACACAGAACTAAGAAAAATATTCCTAACTTTCTTGACAAAATCAGGAGCTATGGCAGTGAGCAGCTTTTGTTACTCAGTGACTGTGATGGCTGCCCCGTGCCCCATGCAGCGTGTCCTCTGCTTCTTGACAGGTCTCACCTGTAGCCGCTCCCCAGCCCTTTTTCGTGAAGGCTTTTTTCGAGATAGGGTCTCATGAACTATTTGCCCAGGCTGCTTTTGAACCTCCACCCTCCTGATTCTTAGGATTACAGATGTGAGCCACTGGCACCCAGCAGGGCCTCACTCTTAGTAGGCAAGCGCTCTGCCACTCCAATTCCCTGCCACTCCAATTCCCATCTTAATGCTATTATTATCCACACTTTACAACAGAAAACACAGGCACATAAAATCAGGTAACTTGCCCAAAGCAAAGCCAGCATTCAAACCCAGCAGGTTGGTTCCAGTGTCTTATTCCTGACCAGTGTACTCAACTGCTTCCCATTGTGAAAGAGAACTTTTCATTGCACTGTAGGCAGTACAGCATCAGCACCAAGCAGCTAACACTCTGGACTGCTGCTATTGATAGAGGCTGCCTCTAAGCACTGAGGCAGACAGGTGAGTGTGGCCTCTGGGAAGAATCCTACCTGCATTGGTCCATTCATTAGGCTTTCCCAGTGCCTGGGGGAGATGTACTTTTCCAGAAACTGTTCCCGGAGGACACCACGCATTGTACATTCCAGGGTCTGGGCCCCTTCATGAAGCTCTTGCTCTGACTCCTTCATTTCTGTCACAATCTGCCAAGAACAGAAGCAAGGAAGTATGAAGAACTATCACCCTCTCCTAAACTCACCCCTGCTCTGAGAGAAAAAAACAAAGTTAAGAAAGGAAAAGCATGAAAGGAGAATAGGTAGATCAGCCCACAAACCAGTTTCCCAGAGTACATTATTGTGGTTTTGAAGCCAGAGTGTTAGTATCCAAAAGGTGTAAAAAATGCCTACCAATCAGTAAGAAGAGAAAACAGCCATGTTCTGTGGTCCAGGCCTGGCATCCCAGCTACTTGGGAAGCAGTAATATGGAGCATTGCAGTTCGAGGGAAAAATGTTAATGAGACTCCATCTCAACCAATAAAAACAAGGTGTGGTGGCACATGCCTGTTATCCCAGCTATGTAGGAAGAAGCATAAATAGGTTTGTGGTCCAAGCTAGGCTGGCCATAACATAACACCCTATTTGAAAAATAAGGAAGAAAATTTGAAAAATAACTAAAGCAGAAAGGGCTGGGGAGGTGCAACTCAAGTGGTAGAGTGCATGCCTAGCAAGCACAAGGTCCTGAGTCCAAATCCTAGTACGAGAGGGAGAGGGGAGAAGGGAGAGGGGAGAAGGAAGAGGAGAGAGAGGGGAGAGGGGAGAGAGAACAAACAAGAGAAAAATAGGCCAAAAATACTGTGGCAGAGACTTCAAGCCTCAGTATCTCTTCTCTTTTATCCTTGATAATATGAACTCGAATTTTTGTTTTTCACTTTTTAAAAGACAGGATTTTGCTATGTGACTCAGGCTTGTCCCAAACTCCTGGGCTTAAGCAAGAGGACTGCTGAATGGCAGGCACTACAGCTCCAATGTCATTTCCTGGGTCCATAGGCTATGTGTAGAGGTCCTGTGAACGGTTTGGGTAAGTAGCCTGGAGCCTGGGGCAGGTCTGGGGCAGAGCAGTGTGCCTTTCTCATTCTTTATCTTGGATTATGAAGGCATAGGTCATACCAAGGAATTAGTAATGAAATGCTGGAAGGAACCTGGGTCCTTCAGTTGATGAGCGGCCTCTTATCTACCCCAGGCTGCTCAGCAGAAAGTCAGTGCTATCTCGTCTAGGTCCCCTGAATAGCCTGTCTTTCCGGAGCTGGGACTAACAGTCATGTAGGGCCCGTCTTTCGGGAGCTGGGACTTACACTCATGTGGGCCCGTCTTTCAGGAGCTGGACTTACACTCATGTAGGGCCCATCTGTCTTTCGGAGCTGGACTTACACTCATGTAAGCCCCGTCTTTTGGGAGCTGGACTTACGCTCATGTAGGCCCTTCGGAGGTGCATGGGGAGGCTGCGGCGGAATTCCCGCTTGTTCCTCAGCTCCCTGAGGGTGAACTGCTTTAGGATTTCACTGTTGCTCCTTCCACCCACCCGCACGATGCCGGTCTTCTGACACCTGTAAATGCCTGTGGAGCAAAGTGGAGCATTGCAGGATTGAGAAGAGCTATCCTGGGTACTCTCAGGTGAGAGGTGTATGCTTGGGATCTTGTTTTAACTGGTCCCTTAAGGACCAAACTTGTGCCCGTAGGAAATGTACCCCATCAGCAAGCAAGGAGGCCCCAGAGAATATGTGACAGAGTAGTAAAGAGCAGTGCTTAAGAGCACAGGCTCTGGAATCAGACAATGGAGGGCCCAAATTGTGGCTCAAACACTTACTGCGAATAACCTAGGCAAGTTACTGAACTTGTCTGTAATTTGGGGACAGTAACAACTTTCTTAGATGGTCATAGTCTATCTAGGTAAGTAAAGTCTCTCTTTGTAGATGCTAGCCGAAGGCCCAGCACAAAGCAAGCACTCAGTAAATGTCACCTCTTACAAAGGTTTCATAACTACTTATATGTTCTAGGTATGTGCCAGGTTTCTAGGCACATACTAGGCACACAGCAGTCAAAAACACAGGCTCAATTTTTGACTTGTTCTAGTAGAGAGATCCTCATTAAAAATTTTATTGCAAAAAAATGTTACTGCAATATCAGTAAGTGTAAATACTTTAAGAATCTGACGCTATAACTGCACAGAAGAGCACCTTACCTTATCTGGGGTTGGGGTAGAGACTTAATATTGAAACTGAGACTCTAAGGACAATGTTTTACCTAGGTGAAAAGAGGGCATAGAAAAGTGGAAAATTACATTCTAAGTAAAAGTAAAACTCCTTAATGCAATTAGTATTCTTGAGGACCTAATATGTGCCAGGACTGTGAACACAGTGAGAAACTTGACCAGCCCTCAGTGGTTATAGAGACACATTTAAAAAGATGACAAAAAAAAAAAAAAGAAAAAGAAAAATGCACAAAAGGAGACTTAACTTTGGGGACAATGGAAAAAGTTCACCTGTGAGAAGATGAGACCCAAAGAATGAGCTGGAGTCAGTCAGGCTGGATGATGCCAAGTTGGGAAAGAGGAGGAAATGCATTTAGGCAGGGGAAGCACGAACCAAGAGAGAAGCTAGAAGAACGCGAGGAACTGAAGACAACCCGTGCTGTGGGTTAGGAGAAACAAGGTAGAGTCAGAGCAGCAGACTGGACAGATCACATGCAGCTAGACAGGCTGTGACGAGGACTGTGGACTACATTCAAAGGGCAATGGAGAGCCACTGAACTTGCTGACGATTCAACCAGAAATGTCCTGATAGAAAACAATTTTGCTATAGACATTACCTTCTAGAAACTGGTCCAAAGCATGATTAGTGTAACACACAACCAAGATGGGGAACTTCTGGGTGCTAATTTGCCATACAGACTCATTGGTCAGAAGGGCCTGGATAATTTTTAGACCCACGTAGGTTTTGCCTAGAAAATAAGGAAAAAGAAGTTGAAAAATTCAAAACTCAAAAAAAGTCAAAAGAAGAAAGAAATGTTATCATTCGCTGGTAAGTGGATGGAATTGGAGAACATCATTCTGAGTGAGGTTAGCCTGGCCCAAAAGAACAAAAATCGTATGTTCTCCCTCATATGTGGACATTAGATCAAGGGCAAACAGAACAAGGGGATTGGACTATGAGCACATGATAAAAGTGAGAGCACACAAGGAAGGGGTGAGGATAGGTAAGACACCTAAAAAATTAGCTAGCATTTGTTGCCCTTAACTCAGAGAAACTAAAGCAGATACCTTAAAAGCAACTGAGACCAATAGGAAAAGGGGAACAGGTACTAGAGAAAAGGTTAGATCAAAAAGAATTAACCTAGAAGGTAACACCCAAGCACAGGAAATCAATGTGAGTCAATGCCCTATATAGCTATCCTTATCTCAACCAGCAAAAACCTTTGTCCCTTCCTGTTATTGCTTATACTCTCTCTACAACAAAATTAGAGATAAGGACAAAATAGTTTCTGCTGGGTATTGAGGGGGTGGGGGGGTGAGGGAGGGGGCGGAGTGGGGGCAGGGGGGAGAAATGAACCAAGCCTTGTATGCACATATGAATAATAAAAGAAAAATGAAAAAAATAAATAAATAAAATAAAAATTTTTTTAACTTAAAAGGTACACAAAATGTATTTAAAAACTTATTAATTGAGCTGAAATACATATTTACATAGAGGACAAACAAATCCAAACAGATTTTAAGTAACTTGTGGGATAGTCCACTGTTCATTTGAAAGTATTCTTCATAGTTGGGTATGATGGCACACACCTGTCATCCCAGCTGCTCAGGAGGTAGAGGCAGGAGGATCATGAGTTTGAGGCCAGCTGGGCAAAGTTAGTGAGACCCTATCTCAAAAACAAAGTACAGAAAACAAAAGGGCTGTGGCTGTGGCTCAAGTGGTCGAGTATCACCAAAAACCCTCCCTGAAACAAAAACTTCCTGCAATTCTAGCACTTGTGAGATTAAGGCAAAAGGATTGTGAGTTTGAGGACAGCCTGGGTGAGCTACATAGCAAGACCCTGACTCAAAAAACAAAAATAATAAAAATAAAAATATTCTTCTTTCTTCAAGAATTCATTGAAAGACCAAGAAAAAAACAAAACAAAAAACCCTTACTTAGCATGAAGGCTAGATGCAAACTTCTGACATAAACCTCATTGCTGGCTGATGAAGATGGAAGGCACAAGTGTTTGTCGCTCAGTTAAATGATGCAAACAAAAAGCCAGTTTCCCTCAGATACAAAGATGCCTCCATTCAAGTTTCTTACAGTAGGAGCACAGACTTGATGCTTTATGTCAGACCACTTTTTTCCTTTCCCTCTAATTCCCTCTCCTGATAATTCTTGTGTCCTTGTTTTTAGTTTAGGTTTCATTTCTGTTGCAAACAACAGAATGACAGGAACTGTGAAAGACCAAAAAACTGCCATCTTCCTGTTTGAGCTGGACTCTGCTCTGTGGAACATCAGGGTTCCACTCTCAAAATTTAGACTTTCTAAAAGGAGCAATTAATTACTGACAGCAAGTTTGAAAAAAAAGTTCTTTTTTGAAACAGGGTCTCACTATGTTGCCCAGGCTGGCCTTGAACTCCTAGGCTCAAGTGATCCTCCAACCCCAGCTTCTGGAGTAGCTGGGACTACAGGTGCACACTATAGTGCCTGGTTTTTGTTTTTGAGTATTTTGAGATGCCTTAAAGTTTAAGCAGCATAAATAAGTATATTATAAAAAGTCTCTAAGCCACACAGTGTCTCACTGGAAGAAACTGATGTTAGCAGGCTCTTGAGCAACTTTCCAGTAATAGTATTTCTATGCATACATAAGCAAATAGAGATGTTTTTATTTTTCCAGTTTCTTTGTTGAATACATGTAATAGCAGACTATATTCTGGTTTTCACTTATGTATTGGAAGTAGTTCTTTATTAGCACACAGAAATCTCTCTCTCTCTCAAAGCTGTAAGGTACTTTTCAGTCCCCGATTGATAAATGTAAACTGCGCTTTCCAATCTTATGTAGCAAAGTTTTTTTTTTTTTGGCCGCACTGGGATTTGAGCTCAGGGCCTCACATTTGCCAGGCAGATGCCTTTATTGCTTGAGCCACTCCACCAGCCGTCATGTAGCAAATTCTTTTTCCATACCATGGAAAGCCTGCCTTTGTGACATGAGGGGAAAACTCAGACTTCAAGATTAAAGTCAGCCATACATAAATTATGTCTATAAACTGCTAAATTCTTAAGTTGTGTCAGGTTAAGGTAGCCACTGTCCTGAAAAACTCAGGTGCCTAAGAGTGATACAGGAAAATCAAAGACTTCACTATACTGTAATAAGTAGCGAGACTCCATCTTTCAAATAAGCTGGTCATGATGGCATGCCCATCACCCCAGCTATGCTGGAGGCATAGGGAGGATGATCACAGTTCAAGGCCAGCTCAGGATGATGAGACCCTATCTGAAAAATAATTTAAAAAAAACAAAAGGGGTTGTGGGCATGGCTCACTTGCCTAGCAAAGCACAAGGCCCTGAGTTCTTACAGTCCTGCAGAAGAGAAAGAAAAGACAAATCCTAACTCTGGTTAAATGAGAGACACATGGAACCCACAAGACATGGAAGGCTCCAGCCTGGTCGATGAGGTTGGGAGAGGCTTCCCTGGGGAAGCGACAACTGACTAAGCACAGGCAAGAGGGAATGGGGCAGACTGGATGGGAGGCCCATGCCATTTTCTGGGTGAATGAAGGCCAAGGTCTGCCTTCAGCTGTGGAGGTAGAAGTTTCAGAGATAAAAATGACTGAAACTTGGTAACAGTTTGACTGGGATAGGGGTGAGCAGAAAAGGATGACACCTATGTTTCTAGTTTGTAGTTTGGAGGACTGGAGGATAAGCATACCTCAGCAGAAAAGACAATCTTTGGAACTCACTATTTACCCCATCCCTTCCCAGGGCTTCCTTCATCTGACAAGAGTGGCTGTTTTGGAATTTTCATCCCTCAAATGACCCTTTACTTACAGATAGGCCCTTTACTAGTATGTGTTTGTGTCTTCTATCCTGAAAAGATTATTGAACTTAGAATTGAAGAACCCTAATTCAAGAGATAACATTAGAAGAAAACTGTTTGCAACATGCATAGTTTGAAAATACAAACACCTCCAACAAATCAATAAAAAAGAATTCAACATAAGCATGGGGAAAGCATATGGAAAGACAATCTATAAGAGCACACATATAAATAGCTAACAAATACAAGAAGGGGTATTTAATTCCCCCCACCCTTTTTTTTTTTTGGCTATACTGGGGTTTGAACTCAGGGCTTTGTGCTTGCTAGGCAGCACAATGCTTTACTATTTGAGCCATGTCTCCAGCCCTTTTTGCTCTGGTTATTTTGACACTTCCTTTTTTTGGTGGTACTAGGAATTGAACTCAGGGCCTTGTTTTTCCTAGAGAGTCACTCTACCATTTGAGTCACTCCACCAGCCCTTTTTCAAGATAGGGTCTTTTGAACTACTTGCCTGGGCTGGCTTCGAACCATGATCCTCCTGATTTTAGCCTCCTGAGTAGCTAGGATTACAGGCATGAGCCACCTGGCTTGCTCTGGTTACTTCTGAGAGAGGGGCTTCCTTTTTGTCCCAGCTGGCCTGGACCATGATCCTCCTAGTTATGCTTCCCCCAGTATCTGGGATGACAGGCATGTACCACTATGCCCAGCTTTTTCTGTTGAGATGAGGTCTCATGAAATTTTTGGCTAGGTTGGCCTGGAACCATGATCCTCTAGATCTCAGTCTCCTGTGTAGCTGAGGTGACAGGTGTGTGCCACCTTGCCCAGCTACTGGGTGGGATGGAGGGTCTTGCAAACTTTTTGCTCAGGCTGGCCTCAAATAGTGAGGGACTGGGGATGTAGCTCAGTGGTTAAGTATTTGCCTAGCATGCACAAGGCCCTGGGTTCGATCCCCAATACCATAAAACAAATAAAATAAGAAGTGCAAGCTGGGTGTGGCAGTATATGCCTGTAATCCCAACACTTTGGGAGGCTGAGACAGGAAAATCAAAAGTCCAAAGCCAGCCTGGGCCCTATAGTGAGACCCTGTCTCAAAAAAACAAAGGGCTAGGGGTATATGGTAGAGCACCTGCCTAGCAAGTATGAGGGCCTGAGTTCAAAATCCAGTATTGAAAAACAAACAAACAAACAAACTTACAAATAACATTATTCTTGATCCAGTTAGGAATTTCTCTGCAGGATATATTGTTTCTGTGTGAAATGACTCACAAATAAGTTTGCCCACCAAGGCATTATAGCAGTGATTTTTTAAATTATGCATATTTTCTCATCATTTAAGGACTGGAGGAGTGGCTCAAGTGGCAGAGCACCTGCCTAGCAAGCATGAGACCCTGAGTTTAAATCTCAGTACCGAAAAAAAAAAAATCTCATCACAAGGAACTGTGTATTGTTTTGCTTTGGTGGCACTGGGGTTTGAACCCAGGACCTCATGCTTGCCAGTCAGGTGCTCTACCACTTGAGCCATTCCACCAGCCTATACATGTACACATGTAAACACATAAATGCTCTGAGAACACCTGGAAAGATATTCATCAAAGTGCAAATCAAATTACCACCCTAGAGCAGGACTAGAGCATGGCACATGGGGGTCAGGTATAGTGAGTCACTTCCACAAGAATAAAGTTCAGCGTGGAGGACAGGAACCAGGACTCCACAGCCACACCACTGTGTGCAACTCTTAGGTCTGTCAATTACCATCTGTAAGGCCTTCATACCACTTAAATAAGGGGTAGTTTAACCTTTCTTTGCTTTAGATTTTCACATGTAAATTTTTTTGAGGTACTGGGATTTGAACTCAGGGCCTCAGGCTTGCTCTACCATATAAGCCACTCTTCCAGCCCTGTTTTGTGCTGGGTTTTCTTGAGAACTATTTGCCTGGTCTGGCTTTAAATCTCGATCCTCCTGATTTCTGCCTCCCCAGTAGCTAGGATTACAGGTGTAAGCCACTGGCACCCAGAAGTAAAATGGTTTGAATGCTACCCCAAAGGTGTGTTGTGAGGATATAATCAGTTAATGCATAAATGTGTAAAGTAGTGCTTGGCACTGTGATTTACTATTTGATACTATTTTTTTCTTTTTAAAAAACGTATTTTTAAATTTTTGAATCATAATATATTAAGAATACAAGGGGATTTCATTGTGATAATTCCATGCATGTGTACAGTGTACCTTCAACAAGTCCCCTCCCCCCATTATATTTCCATTCTCCCTCTCCCTCTTCCTCTCTGCTTCAGTGTTTGGTGGGTTTCATTATGCTGTCCTCAGATTTTTTTTTTTGGTGGTACTGGGGTTTTGAGCTCAGGTTTTTGTGCTTGGTAGGCAGGGTTTTTACCACTTGACTCATGCCCCCAGCCCTATTTAATTTAAAATAGTATAAAATTGAACAAATTACTATGTCCTCTGGTAAAGTAGAGATTATGCACGTCCTTGAAAGTGATCTCTAGCAGTCTTTCTAATTGTGTGATTTTGGTCAATTACTATGCATGCCTATGTTCCCTAATGGAAAATGACTGAGTGGATACTCTATGACCACACTTAGGTCCACTTCAGGGGAGTACTTCTAAATGAGACATTCCAGAAGCTTAGAGCAAAATCCTGTCTTACCTGTTCCTGGAGGTCCTTGGATAATAGCCAGTTCCCTTGTGAGAGCAAACTGTAAGGCTTCCATCTGGGAGTCATCCAGCTTCAGGGCGTCTTTTGAGGGCCACTGGCTAATGTCTAAGACATTAACTCTAGGACGTCTCAAGCCCTCGGCATTCCTCAGCGATTCCGTGGTGGCTGAAGGACTCTCTATTAATGGGGTGAAATCGTATCTGCCACCCATTAGCAAGTACCGTGGCTCACTGACATGAGAGTCACACTCCACGATATTCCTCTGGAAGGGGACATCTTCCTCTTGGACCTCCTGCAGTCCTTCCAGGACATGCCTGTAGGCCTCAAAATATGCCGTGGTCTCCACCATGAGGAAAGAGTCGCAAGGCTGGACCTCTGCTAGCAGCTGTTGGCTCTGCTCATTGAAGCACAGCTGGACAATTCCTCGGCAGAGATCTTCTTGTTCCCGGTTAGAAACAGTGGCAAAAAGAAACGTCTCAAAGTTGTCTTTGGACATGCACACCAAGGACCCATACAGCAATCGTTTGGAATTCTGCCAGCGAACAAACTTCAGCGGTTTGGTGTCAAACTGTACTTTATAGACAATGCCTGATGCTGCACACATGGGGGTGATAATCCTAGTATCAAAGTAGATTCGGATGTCATCAAACTTCCTCTTCCTCAGGCCCTGGTCCTCAAAGCTTTGGAGAAGTTCTAAGATGCCTTCCCGCAGAGGTCTGACAAAATCTTCTCGCAGGAGTCGGAAGTGGGTATCTAGATATATAGCAGTGCTGTCATATTTTCCAGAAATGATGTTGGGGCGAAGGAAGGGCCTCTCATCCAAGTGCACTTCATTGTAGGTAGGATAGATGGGCATGGTCCTGTAACTCTCAACCTGGCCTTCAGCCTCAGGCTGCACTAGAGTGTAGGTATCCACTCTTAAAGTGCCCTCTCGCCTCTTTTCCTGAAGATGCTCAATGATGGTCTGCATCTTTTCCAGGTTCTTCTCTGTCTCCTCTTCTATGTCAACACCAGAGGCTCTCAAAGCATTAAGAGATGTCTGCAGGAGAGAAATGAGCATGGATGTTTCCTGCACAGAGCTGGCGGGGAAGATGCTTACAAGGTCCTGGAGGAGAGAGATGATATTGCTTATGTGCTCTGGATACTGGTTTCGAATGTCAGGGATGGGCTCAGTAGTCATCCCTACGACATACGTAGGTAGGCAGGTTTTGAGGAATCTGGAGCTCTTCAATATGCCCAGCACATGGAGAATGCTCTGACGGTCCATTTTGGAGCTGCAAGCCTTCCGAAGAACCTGGCAGATGAGTTCAACAAAGCTGGATTTCAGGGAAGAATGAGATAGGAGTTCCTTCAGGCCCAAACTCGTGGCAAGTGTGATAACCACTTCAGAGGGATCTTTCTGCAAAAGACTTTCTAGGAATTTATAACCCAGTTTCTTTGCCTGCTGTGGCTGTTCTGCAGGCTTCTGATGGGGGCTCCGCCACTGCTGGAAGTTTTCATTGGGCCATGGTATCCTGCGGTTCCTACCCTCCTGGTTGTCATTTCTCTGTCTGGTGTCATTCTCCTGACCATGTCTTTGGCCTCTAGCTTCATCACTGGTATGTTCCTCCTGGTTCCGTCTTCCCTGATGTGGGTTCCTGCCCATGGCTCTAAATCTTTCTTCCCTTTGCCGGTAAGGAACAGGATGACTGTTGGCCCTAGGATGCCTGTTGGGATGGTTGGCTCCTCCTCTGAGTGTGTTGGCTGGTGGGTTATTGGCCTGATTTCTAGCTCTTGGTGGTAATTCTCCATCCATAGGCCCTACACAAAATGAGAAGCATAAAATCAAGGGGCAAGTAAACTCAACAGGACAATAATGTTTTCATTTTCTAAAACAATTAAGCTCAGGTTTTACTTGGAGAGTGAAAAGGTGTCCTACTAAGTTGTGTAACAAATGAAAAATAGGGCTAGGGAATCAGGTGTGCTGGCCAAATTGGGACACTGAGTCAGAAGATCAAAGTTTAAGGCCAGCCTGGGCTACACAATGAGACTCTTGTCTCAAAAAAACAAAACCAACAACCAAGGCACCAGTGGCTCACGCCTGTAATCCTAGCTACTTAGGAGGCAGAAATTAGGAAGGTCATAGTTCAAGGCCAGCCCCAGCAAAAAAATTGAGACCCTATCTCAAAAATACCCAACTCACAAAAAATAGGCTGGCAGAATGGCTCAAGTGATAGAGTGACTTCTTAGCAAGGTGAGGCCCTGAGTTCAAACCCTAGGATACTGCAACAGTAACAAAAAAAAAAAGAACAACAACAACAAAAATGATAGAGCTGGGGGTACAGCTCAGTGGTAGAACACTTGCCTGGCATGCATGAGGCCCTGAGTTTGATCCCCAACATCAAAATGAAAACAAATAGATTATTACTGCTGCGAAGATTATGAAAATACTGTTTTTCTAAAGGATGCAAAGGGGAAAAGGAATAAGCATTTGTTGTGTCTTAAAGAAAAAAATGTATGTAGTATTTCATTTAATTTCACAAACTGGGACTCAAGTTTCTGAGGGTCGAAAAGGTCAGCTCATTGCTTCTAGCCTCTTCCCAGTACCAGACAGCAGTCAGAGATGAGGTTTAGGGAGAAACGGATCTGGTTTAAATGCTGACCAGGGCACTTCCTCACTGGGTAACCTGGTGTAATTTCTCTGAATCTCAGCATCTGGCTTGTTGTACATTACATGTCTGTAAAATGCTGAGAACAGCACGGGACACATGAAAAGCTCTAAGTGTCAGCTAGTAGCAATAGTAATACTTTATTGGGAATACACTAGTGATCTCTGTAGCCAGTGGTTCTGCTACACAACTAGCACAGGCTACAGAGACATCAAGTAGACTGAAACTATACAGAGAAATACCACTTCAACTTTGTCCTGCATCAGCAAATGCTGTTTGAGTGGGAAACAGGAAGGTAGGGCTTCCTTTACTGTGATGTTTTTTTCAGCTAACTCATAGATTGTGAAGGAAACTGAAACATGGATGTCAAGTTTTGTTTCAGGAAACTGAAAAACGAACTCAAGATTTCCTGTTTTGCAAAGTGCGAGTTCATCCACATGGTACTTATCAGTTATCAACACTATACAGGAAGCTGGGGGGAGAGAGATGGCAAGAACACCGTGGCACACTGGGGACACCACCACCACCCTGTGAAGGAAGCCACACTTGTCCTCCTTGAGCTGCCTCTCCTGTCATAAGGACCTTGCTCAACATGGGAGACTCCCAATCTTTTTACTTTCCTTTCCTCTAATACTGAAACTGGAGCTAATTCAACTTAGCAGAATTACATGGAGATTCTAAAAACAAAACAGAATGTGCACATAAAAAAGTTATGAAAGCTGCAAATACAAATACCTGAGATGACCAAACCATTTAATGACACCAGATACTAAATATATTTATGTACATAGTTTTCGTTTTGCACCTTGCAGAGAAAATTTAATTAATTTATGAGACAAGGCCTTGCTATATAGCCCAAGTTGACTGTGAACTTGCTATGTAGTCCAGGCTGCCCTTGAATTCTCAATCTTCCTGCCTGAGCCTCTCAAGTGCTGGGATTACAGGCATGTACCACCATGTCCAAATGGAGAAAATTTTAATGTAACAACATAAAGAAGGATTTGGTAAAATGTAAATGCTGTACAACTGAACTCCAAGGGTTTCTTTTGCTTCTTTGGTTTTTTTTTGGCAGCACTGGGGTTTAAACTCAAGGCCTCATGCTTACTAGGTGGATGCTTTTACCACTTGAGCCATTCTGCCAGCCCCCAAGTTTTTTTTTAATTCAGTACTGGGACTTGAACTCAGGGCCTACACCTTGAGCCACTCCACCACCCTTTTTTACTGAAGGGTTTAGGCAAGATAGGGTCTTGCTAACTTATTTGCCCAGGCTGGCTTTGAACCATGATCCTTCTGATCTCTGCTTCCTGAGTAGCTAGGAATAAGGGTGTGAGCCACCAGCCCCTGGCAGCCCCAAAGTTGTTTTTTTGTGTTTTGAATCTTTTTTTACATTTCCTCAAATGTATACACATTGTTTGGACCACCTCCTCCCCCCAGCCCCCAAGTTTTTAATAATTATTATATTAATATTTATTTTCAATTCCTACAATATCAGGAAAGTCCTATTTTTAATATTTTGATCTGATTAAAAAACTTAGTATCTTGACAGAATAAAAATTGTTATAATTTCTCATTCTTTCAATAATCACATAGGCCATAAAACAAAATCCCACAGTTTTTTCTGATTTGTTTCAAAGCTAAAATCCAAATGACGCAGGAAAAAGCAAGAATCCATTGACTGTTTAGAAAGTTGTGATCAGGCTGGGATTAGCTTAGCAGAACACTTGTTTAGCATGCTTCAGGCCCTGGGCTCCTTCAGCAACACACACACACAGACAGACAGACACACACCTGGGCTCCTTCAGCAACACACACACACACACACACCTGGGCTCCTTCAGCAACACACACACACACACACAGGGCTCCTTCAGCAAAACACACACACACACCTGGGCTCCTTCAGCAACACACACACACACACACACACACACACACACGGCTCCTTCAGCAAAACACACACACACACACACACACACACACAGGGCTCCTTCAGCAAAACACACACACACACACACACAGCAACACACAGACACACACACACAGGGCTCCTTCAGCAAAACACACACACACACACACACACGCACGCACACACACGTTCTCAGCAAACAGAACAATTTCTCCAGTCAGTAACACTCTTGTACCTGAACTATCCACTATGTAATATATACTCACTGACCACATGTGGCTACTAAGTATGAAAAATATGACTAATACTTAAGTTTTGAAGGGAAATAAAACATTATTAAAGTTATTGGTCTGTCATATGCAATACGTTGAATATCATACTCAATTACAATATAATGATAGTATTTGGATGTTTTGAGTTAAAACACAGCATTAAACTTTATTAGCAAATTTCAAAAATCAATTTCACCTGTTTCTTGTTACTTTTTGAAATGCTACTAGACAATTAAGAATTGTTTTTGGCTTGTACTATTTCTATTGGATAGTGCTGCTCCAAACCAAGAGTGATTACCATTTTGCTACTCTACCACTGTTTTTGCTGAAATGAACTGTGTCATTCATCAGTTCTCTCAGGTAAGTGGAGGACCAGCTGTCCTTCAGTCACCGAGGCTGTGGCTAGGGAGCCGTTCTTACCTGGCAGATGCAGGAAATATAAGGTGGGCCAACTCATTCACAGAGAACCCAATTTCCTTACTCCTTAGAATTTCCTTTCCACTAAGTAGGAAACCTTGCTTACCTCTGAGGTTGGTATAGAGATTCCTGGGCCTGGCCTCCAGCTGAGGTCGTCTCTCCTCCATGTCTGAATCCCTCCAGTTCTTCCTCATTCACGTTAATTTCAGTTATCTGAACCATACAGGCTGAGAACTGTCAGTGCCCTTGAGACACAGCATCTAGCAGCAAAGCCCAAACACAATAAAGCCAGTACTGCTTTTACACTTTAACGGCTTATTAGCTAAGAGCCAAATTTGGAGTTTAGTCATGAGCACAAATGCTCAACTCTGTGAATGCCCAAAACACTAAATTCACAATGTAGGGACCAAATTCCCCCATTCTTTGCACTTTCTGGGGCAGAGGGAGCGTCATCAATTTACATCCAAAACTACTGTTTGGCTGACGCTGTAGCCAAGTTACTCAATCAGTTGCTAGGTTTCATTTTCCTCTCCCACAAAGCAGATAAATATTACTGCCAGGACAAAAGGAGTACATTTTTGTTAATCCCAAACCATGTATTTGCCATCCTATCTGCATGTACCTTATAAATACTTATACAAATATGCTTGTAAATACTTACATAAATATATAAATACTTATAAATACTCTATAGGTTGCAGTATCTTATACTTTGAAAATAATCAGTGAGCAGTTATCCTTTCTCCTACTCTTTGGAGCACACCCAAGGGATCAAGCCCTCTGCTCTACTGAATCAAGAGGAAGAAATTACAGGTTTCAGTAGCATCTACAGGGTGCTAATCCTCAGGACCAAAACCCAGCAATTCTTCCCTCTCCTTCCTCGATGATTTTTAACAATGTTCTCTAAGAGAATGCCCCTTTAAGAACTTCTCGATAACCCCTGCACCTCATGTGCGCTTGGGCTATGGAAAAAGTAGGTGACTCAGAGTCCCCAGCAAAGGGATTTTTGAGCCTGTCCTTGTCACTGAGTTTAAAAATATTCATAGCTGAAAACTGTGAATAGATTTGGCATTATATGAGTGGTAGTTTTTGTCCTCATCAGATAAAGGAGTCCCTTCTATTCCCTCTGGGAATATTTTTGCAGTCTCTTCCCTCATCTTATCAAACCCTGCTCTCTTGTGCAAGTTCAATACTTAAGTTTTGTTTTGTTTTTGTAATTTTGAAGGGAAAATTCCTTCTTCCTCTTTTTGAAAGATACTAAAATAGAAGCCCAGAAACTTGGGGTGGGGTGTTAAAAGAAATTAAAGCAAAAAAAAAAAAAAACCAAAAAAACCCCAAATGTTAGGAAAGGAAGGGAGGAGTGCTTAGGAAAAGGAAATGCTACAAAAAAAGGAAACAAATGTTTTTTGGGGAGAATCAAGGCTGAGAGCGCAGAAGAAAATCAGTGATGGTCAAGTGGCTAGGGACAAGCCTTTAGAGAATGGTAATTAGCACGGTGGATGGAAGAGGTGAATCAAGAATCCACAGCTGGTTTGCAGGACACAGTATAGGGTCAACGGAGAGCCAGGGTTGGGTGGGAAGGAAGGTGCCATCCCCCTACCCCAGCTGAAGTAGGGAGAGCTGGAGAGGTCTGAGAGCTTCAAGAGAAAAAGGATGGACAGAGTTCAGCTGGGGGTGCCTGCGGGAGTAATTAGGGGGCTTGAGGGATGGGGCATGTAGGGTGATGAGAGGACTTTGCAAGAGGTGGAGGACAGAGATAGATGCAAGGGGTAGTTGGGCAGGAAGTGAGGGGCAGAGATGGGGTGGGGGGCAGAGATGGGGAGCCAAGGCAGGAGGGGGCTGCTTCAGTGGGGGGCCCAGGGGACAGCTCCTGATGAACTGAGAGGATGGGGACGCAAAAGAAGGTAGCAGATGCACTGACGGGCGGGGGACGGGGGTAGCAGGTGACCCAAGGGGATGGGCACTTCTCCGGGTGCCAAGGAAGTGGAAGAGAGGTGACGGGACTCTGGGGATGATGGGGGTGCAGAGGAGAGTGGATCTGGACTCTGGAGGTGCAAGGGGCTCGCAGGGGTGAGGACAGGAACACTGGAGGGTAATGGGGACCCGGAGGGAAGGGGACAGGGACTCTGGGGGTGCAGAGGGGACTTTGGGGTGCGGAAGGGAAGGGACTCGGGGCTCTGTGTAGAGGCAGAGAGTCGCCGGGGGTGGAGCAGGTCAGGAGCAGGTGCGGGACAAGCGGCGGTCACTCACCGGTTCCGGCGTGTCCTCTCAGAGCCACCGCCCCGGCTAGTACTCGGCTCGGGCTCGGGCAGGTCGGCGGCCCCGCCCGGCACCGCGCACTTTCGGTTTCCTTTCCCCGCAGACCCTGGGCGGGGCGAGGAGCCGGGCGGGCGGCCCGGAGGAAGAGGAGGAAGCGGAGGAGGAGGAGGAGAAGGGGGAGGAGCGGGCCGCGGGCACAAGCCAGGGGCCGGGCCGGGCTCGCCGGCGACCCCGCCCTCGGGGCGGGCGGAAGGGCGGTGTCGCTTCAGCTCCCCGCGGCGGCGGGGGCGGCGGGCTCGGGCAGGCGCGGCCGAGGGGAGGGGACAGCAGGGGGCGGGCTAACTGCGCCCCAGACTGTCGCAGGCCTCCTCTGGCCCCGAAGGAGAGGGGACCCGGCGGGCGGCTTGATGCGTGAGAAGCGCGACATGGCGGCAAGGCGGAGGAGCCTGGACTGCCCAGGGTGTACGGGGGAGGGGGCGGGGCTAGACGCGGCTCTGACAACCATTACAGCGCCTCGGGCTGGCGCGGCTCACAGACTACATATCCCAGAGAGCGCTGCGGCGCGGCCGGAAGAAGAGCGTGCGAGACCAGTGCGCAGGCGCGCGAGCCGACTCGGATTATATAAGAGAAGTCCCGTGGTCTTTTCGTTCTTTCACTTCTGCGGCGTCTTGCTGTTGTTTTAGGTCCTGCGTTTCACAGGAGGTGACTTTTCCCCGGCATCCACGTTATGTTTAGGGTGAGTGGAATCCCTACTGTCATCTGCTCGCGGACTTTGGTCCTCCTTTAAATTTCTTTGCCGTCGCCCCTCTTAGCTTCAGCGCGGAACGCAAATTGGTTTTAGGTCCAATAAATTAATCTGGAAAAACTCCGCTTTCCGCGAGGGTCTGTTAGCGCTTGGCTGGTGTAAATGATGACCTCACTTTTTTCCCCATCAGATCGACAATGCTGATCTCTTAGAACAATTGCCAGTTAGTCCTGATACACCAGCCCCCGAACGCCCTTCACTGTTCTTTTCTATTAGTAGCAAGATGGCGACAATGTCTTTTTCTTTTGTTTTGTTAGGCTAGCGCGACAAAGCGGTGCAGAATGGTTGTTGGAGGCTCTGATCATATCGGGACCTCCAGAGGAATCCCGTTTAATTACCTGCAACCTTCGATCTCCTAAGCTCCGGTAAGCATTTGTCTTCTCGCGTATTGTAGGAAATTCGTGCTTTGAAGAGCTGGGTTGGCTGTGTTTTAAGATTTAGTAGCAGCTGTGGTTTTTTTCTTTTTTGGGATGCTGCAGACGGACCCACGGGTTCATGTATAGTAAGCACGTGCTCAGCCCCTAGTTAAACCTCTAGCCAATTTCTGCTGAGTACCTCCTAGGTGCTGAGTATTAGGGGCTTTCATTATAATTGTCACATACTGCTTATTAGAAATTGCTTCTAGTGAATTCCTCTTTACACAGATTTTTGGATCCCATTTCTTCATCTGCTCTCTTGGTCATTTAAATATCTATGTGGATGGATAATACCTTACGGTTTCCAGAAAGCCAGATAATGCTTCCATTGAACAGCCATTCAAATCAATTCTCAGTTGCATAACTAACTTTTCTTTGCATGAATGCGGGAGTGAGGTAGTTAAAGGGCTGAGACTATTGCCTCGGGAGTTTTTTTAGCTTTGTTTTTCCCAGATCCAAATTCTTTTGCACTCAGTGCCTACACCTTGAGTCACTCCACCAGTCCTTTTTTGTGATGGGTTTTTATTTGAGATAAGGTCTCACAAACTGTTTGCCTGGGCTGACTTTAAAATGCTGTCCTCCTGAGTAACTAGGATTACAGGCATGAGCCACCAGCGACTGGCTCCCAGCCTGTTTCTTAACAGGAAATTATTGGTAACATCTTGTTGCTTAGAAAATTTCTATTGGCCTCACTGTTAAAGAAATTGATGATTATTGCTTTACTGCTAGCAGCAGGACACAACATAAACTTCTCATGAATGAGTACCAGCAGACCAACATGCCAACCAAATCTTACTCTTTGCTAAAGGCTCACCAAGGCTCCCTGCTGGCATAAGTGATGACTGAACTTTTTTCCCCGACAGATCGACCATGTTGATCTAAATTCTAAGCCAGTTACTGTCTGATGTGCCAGCTCGAGCAGGAAGTGCCTCCTCCAATGGCCATCTAGCTTATGGGAACTTAGCTTTCTCTTTCTTTTCAGTTTTGCTGCTGGCAGAAATAAGACTGAGTGGATCAGTCTGACCAAGAGCGAAGAAAGGATGGTGATTACACGATGTCTCCTTCAGGTGACACAGGACATGCAGGGGAGGTGATAGGTGGGGTTTTTCCAGTATTGATTGGCCTACATTCTATTTTCTTTAACTTACAAAGTAAGTTGATGCAACTGATGACTTAACTTTTTTCCCCATCAGATCGACCCTGTTGATCTAACTAAACTATTAGCCAGTTTTGTCTGATGCATCAGCTCAGAAATAGCTTGTCTTTTGTGCTTGCTCCGTTCTTGGTTTCTCCAGTGTTAACCTTCTTTGGCCTTATTTCTACAGGTCAGGAGCCCTGCTTGCCAGTGTACATTCAGTCTGATCTTTGGCTTGGTTCATTGTCCTGCAACAGGTAAGCTTTCTGCTTTGCAGATGTCAAGCCCCATAGCAGTCATTTGCTCACTGGAGGAAATCCAGTTCCAAGGTTGAAATCAAACAGGACTTGGCTTAAAGTTCCTGAACATGGAGTTGAGTTTGCTTTCCTCCCCTTTTTTTGGTCCCTGGGGACTGCACATGACTAGGCTCTCCTATTTGAGCCACACCAAGCCCCAGCTCTTTTGTTTGTGGGATAGGCTTTTTGTCCATGCTGGCCTGGAACTGTTTTCCTGCCTTGCATCTGAGTAGCTAGGGCTCAGCCACCCCTTGCCAGTGTTCCTTGAAAACCTGTCTGGTTATGTGACTGGGATATACATACATACATACAACAGATCAAACAGGATGACCTGAATCAGCTTCCATAAATTGTGCCTAGCATAGGAGTGTTTTTACAAACCATTCCTAGTTTTTCCCTGACTTGCTTGAGTATGATGTGTTTGCTACAAACAGGTGTGTCTCCTGGTAATGCATTCTCTTAATTTTTAAAACCTAAAAGGTATACCAGTTAATGTTAGTGGTCAATGTATACACGAGTTGTGTAGCTCTAGACATTTAAGAGGAATTTATTTTAGTGGAAGTGGGGTTTGAACTGAAGGCTTAACACTTGCAAAGAAGGTGCTCCACCGGAGCCTCTCCTCCAATCATAAGAATGTCACAAGAATGTCTTGTGAGCACATTCACGTCCTGTTGCTCCTTTCCATGTGTTCAAATTTATTTTTCCTTGTACTGAAGTTGAACTTGTGAGGCAGTTCTGGATTTTTGTCCTCACCTGGAAAAGCTTATTTAACACAGGTACAGGAGATGAGTTATTGGACTGTCTGCCTAGTGAATGAACCAAAGAATGTGTAAGACTTCTGACTAAAGTGGAGCATTGACCGTAATCTACCTTCTGTTTCTTAGGTGCTTCTCAGCTGTGTAGCTGGAGTATCACAGGCCTTCTTGGAAGAAATCAGCTTTTTCTGCTGAGACTGATTAGAGTTCTCTGAAGATTTCGAGGACTAATTCTGTATCTTAAAAATAAATCCTTTTAAATAATTGGCCATTGGAGATTAATGGGTGTGCTCAGTTTGGGTTCATGTCCCAGGTGTATGGGAGGGGTGAATGGGCTCATTGGGCACTTCTCTGGAAAGCATTACAAGGTTTCTCACTCCTCCCTCCCCAACTTGGTTTGAACTCAACCTCCTTGTTAGGCAGGCTCTCTGGTTGAAGAGGAAGATTGCCTTGAAACAGGGCTGTAAAACATGGGAAGCTGCCAAATCTGTAAAAGAAAATTCAGGACCCTGGTAAAGGGCGCCATGCAGAGATAACAACCCATTCCTGCCTGCCTTGTTTCCTGTAAATAAACTTTCCAAAGCAGGACTTCCTTTAGGTCTCTAACTCACTACTAGACCCTAATTAACCCAAGCACATTCCTTGTAACCTGATGCCCTGCACTGCCTTTTAAATACCCTGTGAATCCTTTGTCCAGTGCTCAGACAGGTATGCAAGTCCATCTGGGCCCACTGGCATAAAATAAAAAGAGCTCCACTTCAAGTGTCACTTCGTTTCTCATCTGACTTTCCACAACATCACTTGACAAGCACCCAGACCTTTCTACTTTATTAATATAATCTCATGCTTTCTGTTAGCTGGAATGCCAGCTTTTTTTTAACCTGTTAAAATGTATTCTTTAGGGGGTGGGGGGAGAAATAGCCCAGATGTACGAATATGTGAATAAAAGCTGTACTAAAGGGGAAAGGTATTTTCTAAACTTGTCTGACCTGGCCATAAACCAGGATCCTCCTGAGTAGCTAGGATTTACTGGTTGAGCTACCACTGAGCCCCCAAGTCTTGGTTTGTGTGGGCGTATTTGGGATTTGAACTCAGTCTGCTAAGCAGGCTCAACCACTGAGCTCCACGCCCAGGTATTAAGTGCTAGTGATTGGGTTCCTCATTGGGAGTGTTAGTGAACAACAGGCAGAGGGTTGACAACAATTAATAGGAGTGACGGGTGAATCATCGCCCACCCCTTTGAGAAAACATCTCAAGTCTGAGTGACTTGATTTGGTGCTGTCACTTGTGAGATGGGGAACGGAATCATGTTAGCACCCATGCATCAGCAATAGGCAGGCTTTGCTGAGGCGTAGGTCCTCCTGTGAACTGGGACTCCAAGCCATGCCTGGATTCCTGTCCTGAAAGCGAGAATGCCAGGAGGAACTGGGTGATGTCCCTGAGCACTAACGACAACAGCTGCTTGGTCTGAGCAGTTCCTTGTGTTACTTTGGTGAGACTGGAAAAATCTCTGAAAGCAGATGCTTTCTGCTTGAGCCACATAGCTCTGCCCCGTTTTGCTCTAGTGGTTGTGAAGGCGGGGTTCTATCTTAAGGCACCAGCACCCAACTCTTAACTGATTTTTAAAGCTGTCTGGGTCAGGCCACATTTCCATAATGTTGATACATGCTTTAATCAGTTTATATCCAGCAATAGTTTGACCCTCCCCCAGCTTGTACCCCTGGCTCTCCACACCTGCGTCTCCCACTCTGTCCCAGTTGACAATAGCAGTATAGCTTAAAGCCAACAAGATTTAATAAATAATTTGCTTATAACCACATTGAAGGAAAGCATAACAGAAGAGAATCTCGGTGTCCTGGATGGCCTGGTGAATGCATTAAAATCAAGCAGAGTGTTTGTATTCTGAAAACTTAAAGAGTCTATACAAATGTGTGGATCGTGAAACGCACATTTCTTCTGGCACTGTGACATTTGACGAATATTAACGAAAGTTCCACACCAATTTTGTTTTGTTCCTTCTTTATTAGCCTCTATGCTTTCTTCTCCATTTTCTTCCTTTATACTGCTTCTCTTTGCTCTTTTGTGCTGCCTCAGAACGTCTCTGCTTGCCAGGCTGCATCTTCTTCCCATGCCATGGTATTTTTTTGCCAGATACCTAAGTCACCCAGTTGAGAAGATTGAATGAAAGGCGTACCTTGTACTGTATTGGAGAACCCTGTGTTACCATCGGGGTTGCCAAAACTTAATGGTTCTCTCTTAATAACAACTTTCTGAATTTTCCTTAGAGTTGGTGTCATGTCCTTAAAATAGACTCCAGTTGTTCCAAAGCATTTTGTTGTGTTGCCACATTGTCATTCCCTTGGATCTTTAAACTCTCGGGTGCATTTTCATCCCAGGAGGTTTACATCTGTTTGCTTTGGAACTGAAGAAGAATCAACAGTAGTTGGCAAGGTTATTTGGTCTCCACTTGATTTCCTTCCTCTGCCAGATCTGCATATTAATCTCTTTAGGAATGAGAATGCTGTTGCTAGGCAGGTGCAAACTTTAAATAACCAAAGCTGCATGATGGCCACCATGGTGGGAATCAAAATCTGCCCCTCCCCCTTCCCCCTCACTGGGTGGGGTCTCAGAGCTACTTGGGCCGCACTGTCCAGGACCCTCCCCAAAATGTAACTGCCTCTGCAGTCCTAATACTAATGGTAACAACAGCTAACATTTATTGAACCCTTACTATGTGTTAATCATGGTTATTTGTATGTACCCAAATGTCTATTCTCCCAACAGTTCTCCCTCTCTGTGGCAGGTTGTATTTAACCCTCATTTGACAGTTGAAGGGACAGGTTCAGAGAAGTAAACAGCCTTGCCTAAGGTCACACAGCTGGTAAGCGGCAGGGCCAGTACTTGAATCCCATCAATCTGGCTCTTGCATTTTTTTTTAACTTGTAACCATTATTTTATTTATTTATTTTTCTTTTATTCATATGTGCATACAATGTTTGTGTCATTTCTCCCCCTTCCCCCACCCCCTCCCTTACTCCCCCACCCCCTCCTTCTCCCCTTTCCCCCTCGATACCCGGCAGAAACTATTTTGCCCTTATCTGTAATTTTGTTGAAGAGAGTATACGCAATAATAGGAAGGAACAGGGGTTTTTGCTAGTTGAGCTAAGGATAGCTATACAGGGAGTTGACTCACATTAATTTCCTGTGCCTGTGTGTTACCTTCTAGGTTAATTCTTCTTGATCTCACCTTTTCTCTAGTTCCTGGTCCCCTTTTCCTATTGGCCTCAGTTGCTTTTAAGGTATCTGCTTTAGTTTCTCTGCGTTAAGGGCAACAAATGCTAGCTAGTTTTTTAGGTGTCTTACCTATCCTCACCCCTCCCTTGTGTGCTCTCGCTTCTATCATGTGCTCATAGTCCAATCCCCTTGTTGTGTTTGCCCTTGATCTAATGTCCGCCTATGTGGGAGAACATACGATTTTTGGTCTTTTGGGCCAGCCCTTGCATTTGTAACCCTGGGCTTGACTGCAGTGTATTGCTTCAATGCAGAATAACACAGGAAGGAGGCAATTGCTGGCTCTTCAAGGTTCATCTGCTTTTGCTGGGTTTCCCTGTTGATGAGACCACTGAAGACAGAAGAGGCCCCACCTGCCTGTAAGGGCAGAGAAGCTCCCTGGACAGTCACCAGCTGCCTGAGCCTCCTGGCTTTGTCTCGTGGTTTCCTGGAGCTCTGGAAGGTCTCTGATGCTTGGACACTTTGCAACCTTTCTGCCCAGCTTTAGCTCATACCACAGTCCCAGCAAACATACCATGGGTCAATCTCATGCTACCCCCTTGTCCTCTTCACTGAGGGATCGTGGGTAAATTCCTGCATCTCCATAACCTCAGCTCCCTTGTCTGAGAATTAGGGTTCATAGCAATTCCTTCAGCGGAGTCAGGAGGTACCATTTTAAAGCACGTCTGCAAAGTGCTGATCTGGAGTCCAGTGCATAGTAGGAACACAATTCATATTTAGTTAATAAATATACATTCCTGCCACAGCAGATGGGCGAAGGTCTGTGTTGGGGAAATAGAAGAATAAATGTGTTCATTGAATGCTTGTCATGTGCAGTATTGTGTTTACTATTTGGTTCAATTAATCTACTGCTAACCCTGTTCATTGTTACTGAATTGTATAGACTGGAAAACTAAAAGGTCAGGGACATTTCATGACTCACTGAAAGCACACAGCTGGAGATCACCTGTGTGTGTGTGTGTGTGTGTGTGTGTGTGTGTTGGTTATTTTTGAGACAGGGTCTCACGAACTATTTGCCCTAGCTGGCTTCGAACCACGATCCTCCCTCTGATCTCTGCCTCCTGAGTAGTTAGGATTATCGGTGTGAGCTGCTGACACCTGGGTGGAAGTAACTTTTGAGTTCGAATCCTTGCTGTGCCATTTAACAGTCATGTGGTTTTGGGCAAGTGATTAACATCTCTGTTAGCCTAATTTCTTCAGAATCTGAAAAAAACAGGGCACCCTGGCTTGCTTCCTTTTGCATGGGGTGTTCAGGGCTCATCCGTGAAGAGCACGGATCTGAACATCCTGTGGCCGGTAGTGTGAAGGGTTTTTCAAGATAGGGTCTCCTAAACTATTTGCCTGGGCTGGCTTCCAACTGTGATCTTCCTGATCTCTGCCTCCTGAGTAGCTAGGATTACAGGCGTGAGCCACTGGTGCCTGGCTCTTTTGGGGATTTTTTAAGGAGTAAATGAACATTTAGAACTTTCTCTAGAAAGACCTTCACAAAAGCTTGCTAACTTGAGCTTCTCCTGATCATCTTTTTGTTCTAGATTTTGTCTGTCTCATTCCTAACTGTGGCGACACAATTGCTAGGAAACATGAACTGGCCCTTCTCAGAACCTGCGACTCCAGACTCTGTCTGCAGGGGGCGCCATTGGCACACATTTCTCCAGCATGTGACCTGCAGCCCCATTGTTGGCCTGGAAAGGGAGAAGACCTTGCCACCGGCTCTTCTAGGGTGAGCTATGGCTGCTAGCCTGCCAAAGGGCAGATTCCCCAGGCCTGAAATGTGGGCTGCAGACTCCTCATGCAACCAACAGCCCCCAAAGGAATTTACCCACAATGCCTCTGACCTAACAAATCATTAATCAATTTTCACTTTTCCAAGTTTCCTTCTATCCCAGGTCTTTCTCATGGTGGGGGTTACTGCCAGCATGGTTGGAGAGTCCCATTTTTAAGGAAAGCCAGAAACCCCAAAACTAAAGACTGAACAACA